ATGGACACGGGCACGGCACGGACACGGACACGGACACGGACACGGACAGGGACACGGACACGGACATGGACACGGACACGGCACCGAGCGCTGCTGCTGCCGCTGCTGCACAGCCGGGCCCAGCCCGCTGAACGCCCTGTGAGGGACATAACGGGACACTGAGAAGGCCAACGACCCCTGCATTGTCCTACCTTCCGTGCACCTGCGAGTCTTGACTTCTCTCCTTTAAAGACTTCATTTCAGTGGCCTCTGGTTTAATTTCACGTGTCCTCCTTCCCTTATTTACCTCTGCGGTGGTTCCTCCTCCTTTCCTGAGAAAGTTGATGACCACGTTGCATAATATCACATTTAACTGATGCATGAAAAGACTTCCAAACGATCACAATCTGTAGAGAAACTCAAAAGTTACTCACATGTCAAAGAAAACTCTTTCCCTCCCACTATTAATCACTTTAAAAGAATAGGAATTAGTAAATAAATCATCAATGGGAATGAAAACTCTGTGCTGTGCATAGAATAGCTACCCCACTAAGCAAATCATTTACCTTTCTATGTCTCCATTTCACATTAATAAAGATAACTRCAACTTAGTCTATCATTTTTATTTGCTCCGAGTGAGATTCTGATCAAAGACTAACTGCAGAAATTTTCAACTAATCCCAGAGAAACAAAACCAAAAGTAAAGAAATCATTTATGATAGAATTTTGGGTTTGTGACATTACACTTTTGAAGCTCTATTTAACGAAATTCAAAGAGCAATGCTTGCTCTTTGGATTTCAAAGGCAGATCAAATCCAACAGGTAGCAAATTGCATCCTAGTAAGACTTTTCCTCCACATCCCTTTCTCTTTGCACATTTTTCCCCTTGAGACAAGGTTAGATGCAAAGGGAAGAAYATACACAAATTAATAAGATTGTTCTTTTCCCTCCCTAACACACTCATCTTCTAGTAGCCAAGGTTTTTCCCTTTGGATTTACCACTGYCTTGGGTACTCTCCTTACGTTCAGMCCTCTTCAGTTAATAAACTTCTGAAAATTAAATACACAGAACATAAAGGTTGAGTTGGGTTGGCACTACCTTTATGACTTTAGTAGCTAATCCACAAAAAGAAGTTATCATGTCACTATTTCCTATGTCCTCTTTTCACATTAAAAAATGCACTATTTTCAGCACCAAATAAAATATCTGACCAATTTGAGGAATAAATTCCCCCTCTGGGTTGGAATATAGAGACCACAGAGGCAGGTTACAAAAATACATCCCAACACAGGTAAGAATGAAAACTCTGTTTCAGCGTTCAGAATCTTTATCCTGTGTCCATAAAGGAGAAACTTTTAAGTTAAAGCAATCAGTGAAATGTTCTCCCTCCAGGCTGCTCTGCTACCATACCACAGGACTGTGTGATTCATGCCCTAGATCCTTCACTTCTAGGAAGGGATGCACACCAGCTGATCATCTGCCTGAGAGCAAAGTCTGAAGGGTGATTTTTGCCTCACAACATCCACTAGAGCTTTTGATAAAGGTAAAATATTTTAATTTTTTTACACATTTGGAAAAGATAATTGCTGACAGCAGTCACATTGAGTTTTGACTTGTTTTCACATCCTGCAAACAGGATAAAAACCTTTCTCATATTCACTCAAAAACTGTCCCTTTCATTTTAATCATACAATCCATCAAGATAAGTTTTTTGTCTGTAACATTTTATCTTGTTTAAATTCTTAGAACTTTTTTTAAAAAAATTTAGAGAACATATTGAACATATTRAAATGTTAGAACATATTGAAACAAGAACAAGTTATTAATGATTTAAGGGTCAYGAGTTTACCCAGCAATTCCAGACAATTAAATTACCACAGGTATAGAAAAGTTAACGCCATAAGATAATACGGAAGATAWATGTAAGTACGTATTTAAGAAGCAACTGTATTTAAATTTTGAATTTTATCTGCCTGAATATTATCTGTATGAGAAAATTGTACCAGTTTGGTGTTTACATTACAGTAGAATGAAAAAAAATTTTTTGATCACATTACTCCTTTATCGCATTTTGTAGTATTTTTAGTGGTGTCTCCTTTACTGTAGGATGGGATGGTGAAGACTTTCAGATTTTGCATTACTAGCACTGCCACTGCCCTGATAAATGTACTTTTCTTCCATGAAAAACAAACTACCTGAAACAAAAACGACATTGTATTTGATTTCTAATTCAGATGTGGTTTTTCACTCTGAGCTCACAGTATGAAACTCGAACACATTAATAAAAACAAGTCCTGGTCCATAACCAGCAATCCCAAGCACTGTGCTATTATAAATAAATGCTTTCATCTCTAACAATGACTTTTACAAGTCTGTTTTCCCAATTACTTGTTCTGTAGATGACTCACCCAGTCATGAAGATAACATYTTCTTCCTCTACATAGTGCACCACCTTTTAGTCCTGTAGCATGTGAAAGTGTTAACTGTTAACTTCAAAGCACAGTGTAACATTGCCCACACCTAATTAATACTTGTATCATGCTTTGAAGATGTGAAAGTTTATGATTACTGACTAGTAAGTTTTGAACTAATACCAAAACCRGACTAATTACTACCAAAATGAGTGTGGAAATCAAAGTTATACTACACAACTCTACTACTCCAATGTTAGTCACCCTGGGTTGGGGCTCAGGGAAGACCAATTACTTCCTTTGAAACAAGAAAAAATATCTCTGAGGTATTACAAAAATGAACCACATGAACAAAGCTTAAAATTAAGTGTAATCTTAAAATACTTTTAATAGGCTCTTACAAATCTTCACCCCGGATATGTAAATCATAGTAGCTGTCCACATTTAAAACTCAGGAAAAAACCCAAACTGGTTGTAAGCAGTATTGTYCATCCTTACCTGAACTTTTGGCTCAAGCTGAGAGATAGATGTCTTCATGTATTTCTGTAGTTGATGCAACAATAAATCATGGCCATGAAGAATTAAAAAYCAAATGTTTCTTTCCCAGCATCTGCAGGACCATCATCTGTTACAGATTTCTAGATCGTTGAAGTTTATGCTAGGCTACTCCACACAGCAAAACCCATGTTTACAGGATTTATCCATGACTGATGTATAAAATTTGGTGTATCCAATTGGATTCACTGTTTAATTATTTTGTTGTGAAACCTCCAATCCCCAGGTATTTGCTTCAGTTACATTACAGCACAGGACCGCAGAACAGAACAGCGTTCACTCAATCTGTTTCTTTCCAGAAATGCACAGCTGTAACACACTTGTTGCCCTACACACTAAAAAACTGGGGTAAGTACTTCCAAAGCCATTATCAGATTCTCAGAGTTACTGATTTCTGTAGATATGGTAGCATGGAATCAAAAACTTTATTTAMATCAGGGGAAGAAGTTCAAAATAAGCACAAACGTATTTTCAAAAGGAACCTATTGGTTTTGATTGCCAGCAAACCTTAACAGGCCTACAATGAGGCTCACAGACACTCCATTTTGTCAGTGAGTTGCACCCATGCAAGCATCCTTTAGTACCAAATGGCACATTTATGGAGTGGACTTTTAACAAGTCCAAGAGCTCAGAGCTAGACTGCCTAGTACTGACTACAGGCAAAATCCATCTCTGAACACTGGCCAGCATCCCACTGATGTGCTCTCATTGTAAAGCAGCAGAGTAAAACTTTTCCATGTTAGACAGGTCAATAGTATAATACCAAAAGTAAATTTAACCATAGCATGCTTTATCTTTCATATTACACTTCTCCTCCTGCTCCTTCCACATGGTTTTGTGTATGGATTACACAAAATCACAATCTACCACTAGGAAACTAAAATGAAGTACACATTTCAGAGCAAGGGTTCGGCTGTTTCTGCAATGATCATTAAGTCACTTTRCTTGGCATTGTTTCAAATGCCAAGTCACCTTTACTTGGCGTTGTTTCAAATGAAAACAATCTTCCCATACAAAATTATCAACCAAGCATTATTACAAAGAGTCCTCCTTAGTGGAGGTACTTTACAAAACCTGAAGATCATTTATATTTGTGCCTTTCAGGGACATTTTCCATAGTGGCAGAAATTCCAGTGTTTCAAAACTAAGCTCAATTAGCCACATGCAAATACTGAAATTCAAATATCATTTTAGGAATTTGAYGTTTAGAATCACTAAGATACTCCTTTAAAAGCACCTCCATGTAGTAAATACAACTATTTTCATTACCCACAATGTCATGCAGACATGCACTTTATTGAAGTAATAGAAAAGAAAGATTTTGTAAAAAAGTCACTTGAGCACTCTGAAGCAGACTCTCAGAATAATTATGGAAAACCCACAGATAATCTCATCAATTCAATATCAATTCATCAAGAAGCAGACACATCTTTGTACATGTTTCTTGTGAGACAAAGCAACAATACAGTTCACTAACCAAACATTATGCTCTATGTACCTGGTGTACCAAAGCATCAGGGGTACCATATATTCAGAAATCTGTCTTCACTGAGCAGCTCCTGCATCGAAGCACAACAGCAAAGTAATACAAAATTCATTTGTTGAAAGATCAGTGAAGATTCTCCCTGCAAGTGCCACAGTTTATTTCATTTCTCATACTTAAGGGGGAATGGCTGAATAAGTAATCTCTAATCAGKACTATCTACATAAAATTAAATTCTTACCACCTCTGCCTGTGGCCTTTCACTTTGTGAAAGTATTTCAGTAGCTGGCACACAATCTACAGGGTTTTTGTTCAACTTCTTGGGTGAACAATGTCWGGTTATAAAATACATACATACTAAATGCAATGCCCAAGAGGAAAGAGAGCAGGACAAGCCCAGAAATACTGTTTGCAAGCAGTAACAACCCAGTGAACAACAATGCCACCCAACAGCCCTCAGGCTGTAAAGACTTCAGGTCACAAAAAGTGTCCAGTGAGCCAAAGTAAAAACAGGTTTTATGTAGTCTTAACTTTTTTTTCCATAAAGGCAATGAAGAAGACAGACGGTTCATTAAATATAAAAGCAATTTTATAAAAACACATCAGAATTTTATTGCTTGAAGAATACAGCATATGAAAAAGCACAAGAATGTCCAAAAAGAAAGGTCACAAAAATTCAAACATTACACCATACATACCAGATGCAGTAAAATGTTAACCTGATTTCTGCATCAGAAAAGAAGGGTGTGAAAATATACCTAGTATCATTTAGAAGGAAAAGACTCATTTAAAATAGAAAGTGTGAAGGTGTTACAGTACAAATTAGAAAAGCCAACACTGCACATTAACATTGTATCACTAGACTAGATTTTCTACCTTTGGTACTTAAACCTTTACAGAAAATCACTTCCTCAGTCAAACCTTGCCTAACATATTTTATGTAGCATCCAGGAAAGTTTTTTGTTGTTTTTTTTTTTTTTAACTTAAACATTCAAACAAATACTCTTCTGAGTTTTCACTGCATTATTGCATTTAAAGACATGTTCRCATTTATTCAATCCACAACTCAACGCATCTCAAATTTAAATCAAAAGTCACTATGTGACTTAGATCTGAATACTTTCCAATTGGATCTTGTTCAGATCTTTATGTAAAAATGGGCCCACCATTTGCTGTTTGCATCCTTATGTAAACAGATGCAGCCCTCCTAAGAATTTTAACGAGAGCAACTTGCTGAGGATGTAAGTTAATAAAATCATCCACATTGTTAGAGAGCCATGGGGTCATCTACAGCAGCATGCAAGTGGCTTTTCTACTCTGCTCAGATTAGTGTACCAGAAGATATGCCAGTATTACTTCAAGTAACACATTAAAACTCAGCAATGGACACTACTGTGCTTTATTTCAACACAAAGGACAGCTGCTCATCCATTAAATCAACAAAACCATCAAAAGGACAAGTACATCACTTCTGTTTCATGTACCTGCTGACCACTCTTGGGGAACAGTTTATCAGAAACCTGGACTTACCTACAATTCATTTCGAGTGAAGAAAAGGTTGTCTTTCAACAAGGTATCTAAGTAATCCAGTGGCAATCTAGTCTGGAGAATGTTAGCATTATGCTGACCATGACTAATCAAATTTAAATAAATTCCCTCTTTTAGGATAAACATGCTGTTAGGGTCAGCTTTTGCCTTCTTGGGCTTGAATATTCAATCACTCCCAGTCACATCAGCAGAACAAACAATTCTGTTTCTTTAAGTTCCAGCTTTATATTTCAACAATACCAATAAATCTGGACTATGAAATACCATCAACAACAGTTAACACTAAACTGGAGTGAAGTAATAGAAGAGTTAGTTCTTCAAACCAGGCAGTCTTTAAAGTGAAATATTCAGTTAGGACTGTCAAAAGGATGTCATAATAAAACCACGGGTTTATTTTTTTTTTCACCCCCTATACAAAAGAAAAAAGACTGAATTTGTACAACTCCTATTAAACATACCTTTTCCTAGCTTGGTGAAAATGTATCATTTTCAAATTTTAACAAATGTTGTATTTGAGCATATATAATATTTATTGCCATATACATCCTCATTTTAAAAAGAACTAAGAATTCAGACTCTTCTATGCTGAACTCTACTTTTTTCCCATTAACAGATTATGTCTACTGTACCACTCCCCCAAAAAACAATTAAAAATTCTAAGTAAGATTTTATAGTTTAGTTAAAAGGGAGGAAATGCAAATGTGGATTTAGAGCTTTTTGTATAAATCTCACTATATTTTATAAACATGTTGTTTATTGTAACACTGTTTATTGATCAAATAAATGACGGACTATCTAAAATTTCCATATACACCATTAAAAATCCAAAGTTGATATGATACTGAACCTTAAATCTTCAAGAGTTCAAAAAAAGACAGTTTATACATGTACAGCACACAACAGCAGACACCCCTAGAATACCAACTGCCAGTCCACAATGCATACAAACTTACAGGTAAGCATTCATTTCACTGTTTTCATTGTGCAGGAAAAGTATTTCTTAGTAAGACAACTCAGCTGGTGATTTTCAGATATCATCTTCATCATCTTCATCCTGAGAAGATCCTGCCTGATTGGATGCACTGGCTGAGGCAGCAGCAAGCTGTGCCTGTTGAGCTGCTTGTTGCATCTGTAGCCATTCCTGCTGTGCCAGTTCTGCTTGCTGCTGTCTAGCCTAGAGACATGAATTTAATTGTTAAGGCCATACACGGCTTGTGAAGAATCTCTAGAACACAATACAAGCATTTTTATCTGTACCTGCAGATTCCTTTTATAGATTTTTTATTAATTGCACATGCAAAACCACATCTAGAAGTACCTTAATTATTTGTGCCAAGAAGTTTAGCTATAATCTCTCTTCCTCTGAAGACACCACTGTTTAGAGGCTTTACATTTATAAAAACAACTCACAGAAACTAATGTACTTAAATTCCATTGTAAGGATTGTGCTGAACCATTAGCTAATGAAAAATTTAACTGAGGCAAAGCAAAGGAAACTTTAGACATCAGTTTCAAGGGATCTTAACATTTAATCACAGTTCAGAGATGAGAACAACCTTGCTTTGTTGATTACAAATAACAAAACTTCCAATTAYGAAATCATCCAACTAAACCACAGAGGCACACATTATTACAAAAAACAAAGAAAGCCATTATCTTACTTTGCTAAGGAATCTTTGTAAAACAGAACTAGGTAAGGTCTTCTCAAATTCAGGTATGACAACTGAGGATGGCTTTGCTACAGAAAAGTACAATTCTTTACTGAAAAGTACAAGACATCTATCAAAACATTTCAAATAGAAAAATGAGAATTCACCAGTTGAACAATCTAGGGTTTTCACCAGTTTTTTGGCAACTCCTGTTGATTTCAACCATATACTAATTGCTTGTGTTAAAGTTACAACTTCAATCTCTACTTTGAACATTAAGAAAACATTCTCAAAATGAAAAGCTTTCCGTCTTTTTTACTAYTCTACTTTTACAAGTCTAACGCTATAATAATTTCCTTTCTAATCCTATTGCACTCAATGAATTTTGCTTTTTTTTTTTTTTCAAAGCATCAAGTTTTTTACAGTTTTGCAAACTTTAAGATGCCAGAAGATGATGCTTTGGAAAACAGTCARATCCAGTTTTTCTACTTAGCAATGTGAAAAAAAGGGAATCCTCCTTTATTACTACAAAGTGCCACATTTTTCTCAGTCAGTTCTACAGTAAAARAATTACTTTATAGAGGTAGAAATCTCTTCTCAATGAAAACTTTTCAGTATTTCAAACTTCCAGTGGTAGCATGGTTACAAGCGTTGGAAAACAATTTAAGACATCGTAAAGTTTTAAAGGAAAGACAGCAGCATCTGTACACATAGGAAGGCACAAATATTTATCAGACAGGAGATAACAACAGGGCTCCCTACTGACCCTGCTATGRTAAAGTTTACTGTACTCTCAATGTGGTGATACTCATGCATGCTCCAGGAAATAGAGGTTCAGCACCTCACACTGGATACATCACTTTGGCAGTGCCCACCCTCACTGCCATACTCGTAACGGTAACACTTCACCATTTCAAAAATGGGAAAAGAAAAAAACCTCACATACAATTCCATTGTGTTGGATCGACCAAGAAGCTCTATAAGCATCTGMTAAAGTTTACTCATTTACTGCACAGCTCCAGCAAAGAAGCCTCAGAAAACCCCCAAATCTGTCCTTGTCTTGCACAAAAACTTAGACACGCATGAATATCAGGATAAGCCATTCCCCTGACTTCAAATATTTACATTCATCCAAGAGAGAGGTGTCAAACATTCATAATATTAATAAGCAGGTATTTTAAAACCAGAGCAAGAAGTCAGCATAGTGGCATGCTCTAGAACATTAAAAAGATTAACACAAATAAATAAGCATGCCCTTGCGTAACTATTTTTAAGACTAATTACAGTACTTCCAACAGCACATCACAGCTACTATTTTTGAAAAATGAGACTGTCATCTTTGAATCTAAGCAAACATCTTCCATATTACCGAATACTATTTTTAAAAAACATTCATACAATCTTGTCAAACTGGCATGTGCTGTCTTAATTTAGAAGGCACAGTAACAGAATTTTAAAAAAAATATACTGCAAGTTGTCATTCYTTAGACAAAGTGTGGCTTGCATATGGTGGTTTCAGTAATTTTTTTTTTTCCAATGATACTCTCATGCTAATAGTCCCTTAAAATGATCCCTCAGTTTTGTTGTGTTTTCTTTTTGTATATCATGCTGAGTTATTTGCACAATTTAGTAAGCAAAACGCAGGTATCAAACTGACTATTATTTGTAAATCTTCCCCAAAATCCAGAAGCAGCCATATTGGTTTTTCTAATGTTAGTACAGTCAAACAAGAGGCACATGATTTGATCATAAGTAGCTCACTGCAATAGCTACATGGTATGCCGAAATTTTAAATGCCTTAAAATTCATCATGCAATGAAGATTAAAGTAGTTGGCATGTTATAAGATGAAAAACAACAGTTTCAGCAAGATACAAGTATAGCAAAGGAGAGAGAAGGTCACAGTAATCAGACTTTAACTGAATAAGCATTTTCATCAGAGGAAATCAAAATAAGCAAACTGAAAAAATAAAACTCTGGCCTTGGTTAAGAGAAAAGAGAGATGCCAGACAACTTTCCCCTCRCTTACAGAATGATCCTGTCAAACTGACAGAATAACAGAGAGAAAGACAGTGTAGATAAATAAATAATATTGAGTCTTAGTCAATTAAACTGGGAGATGTTAAACCATCTAGGAAAGCTGGAATGGGATAAGGCTGGGATGAAGGAGAATGTGAGTGTGTGTTAGTACATTATTTGGAGGCAAATGCTTTTTCCATGTCTCAATAGCCTCTTTAAAAATTAATGCATGATTTCAATCAATTACAGTCTTGCCAAGATTAAAGTTTCTTTCAAAGTATAAAACATAACATTGGTGCACTGATGGTCAGAAATTGAAAAGTTATTTTCACCTTTTAATGTTTCAAAACTGGTCATTTTCTAAAATACCAGATGTTATTCTTTTACTTCCTCAACTAAGTAATTCTTCATGTATTCTCCATGATAGACTGGAAACACCCAAGTAGCAGCAAAACCCCATGCTTTTTAAACTAAAGTATGAAATACATTCATATACCAAGTTCTATATATCAAATCACAGAAGTATCAAGTAGCAGCATCTTATTTGTTGACTTCACATTCCCCAATTCAAATGGCCAAGGCCAATAGCATCTTAGATGCCACATCAATTCATGGGGATACTTCTTGAGGTGTGCACATGTCTGTGTGGCCCTAGACCTGCAGCATTAATTATTCTAACTTCATCAGAACAAGTATTGCTTCACTTACTTGTGCAAATAATTCCTGTTGCTGCCTTAGTAGCTCTTCTTCCGGAATGCCAAGGTTCTCCAAGCGTGAACTGGCCTTTCTTCTCTTTAGTGCTACTGTTTTGCATTCTTGTAAGACTTCTTTTACTTCACTGATATAGGAGCCAAACCCCAAACTTTCTAGTGCTAGAAAAAAAGAAAAGACACTGTTTACCTTTTACTAAGTTTTTGATAATAGATATTGATTTGTTTATCTAAATTTCTRTATTTAAAATGCATATATATAAAACTACATATAAGCTATTCATTGTTTTGTTTCTCAACAGAACCTCTTCCATTTATCTCCATATTAAAATGTATTCAAAAACTAAAATCTTGCACTTTTATCTGCCCAAAGAAATCTGTAATGTAGCTATATCCTGCAACAACAGTTTTTTTTAAAGAATGCAAAGGTAGCAGAAAGGATTATAAAAGCCCAGGTAGAACATGTGACAAAAGACAACTGTTTCCTCATGCACCATTTACTGTGACATGCCTCCACACACACCCAAAGTGAACCTATTGCAGAATATACTAGAAACTTTACATAAACACCAATTATCCTAGAAACAGGTATCAGTTTAATAAAAAAACTGGTTTATTTCCAGTATTTACACCATTCAGAGTTTACCTCACAAAATTTGGTTTAACCCTTATCTTAATCTCAACTTTATGTGACCRCCTATTCAAGGAATAGCACTACACTGCACAACAGCAATCGACAGATTGATATAAAACAGCTTGATATAAACAAGATCTTTGTTACAGTAACTCAGACAATATTCCAACACTAATGTTGTAAGCAACATTTTCTTACCCATAGTTACAGCAGCACTGCATCATAATATAAAYAATAACCCAAAGCCATTCTCTAAATTTTCAGCTTCCAACTTGTACTCAGGGAGACAATTCACAGTCTTCAACAGGGATGTCAGTGCTGCTGTCTACTCATGCAGCACCACTATCCCTTTAAGAAAGAACACTTGGCAAAGTAATTTACATAATACTTATTTCTTTTAAAAAATTAAKTTAAAAGATAAACTGATCTAGAGATAGTAAAATTACTTTAGAGAGAGTATGCCAGTTTAGCCTCAGCCCACACACAGACACTGGAAACACTTTTTCTAATTAACCCACAGTTTGTAGGAGAATCACCTAAAACTTCAGAAACCTGTTTCATCCACCCTCAGCAGACAGGAGGCAAATCCATGTCTCATAGTCCAGAACTGGTTATCTTACCACTCTACAGATATTTAAGAACTCATTCAATTTTAAAATGTAAACAGTATACACAGTAAATTTTTTAAGTCACACTTTTTTAACCGAACTGAAGAAATATGTAAGTCTAACATCACTAAGACAAACCATCACAGCAAAACCCAGAGGTGTTTGTTAAAAGACCAGGGCTGGCAATCTGTTGTATCAGAATATGAACAACTGCCGAGTCTGAAGTTAACAGTAATATGTGTTTTTAGAGAAATTTTAAATGGTCCTTACAATAATATAAATAATGGAAAGAACTTACATTGTACAGCAGAGACACACAAAAACAAATAAAATCCCCCCATGTGATACAACCAAGACAAATTTTTACAATTACTCAATATAAGCAAGCTATGAAGAACCATATATGCATCATAAATCTACTGCATTGAAATTCTCCTGGCTGTGAAACAACCTACAAAACTTACCATGCTCTTGAAGCACATCAAGGCTTTACAGAACATATGAATGGAAGGAATACAGATCCCTTTATACCACCATGGTGCTAAAATGTGGGAGAAGTGATTACTACTTTATCAGAGCTGCTGTTTCATCAAAACTTAAAGCCTCYCAGATGGCTGAAAATCCAATATCTCACCAAGGCTAGAATGATCCCACCAAATATAAACTGCTGAATTCCAAAACACAGCATTTGGGGGGATAACCCAACTCATAACACCAGACCACAATTACCCTTTCCCCAGTTTTCCACTCTTAAMGACTGCAAGAAGGTGAAGGTCTCTGAGTAAGTATAAGGTCTCTAAGTATAATTAATATCTGATACTTTTAAATTTTTATGCTCCTTTCAAAGAAAAAAGAACTTCCGAAATACAATCCTAAACAYGAACAGTTGTGTGGGATTTTTTTAATTAAATAATAACACACACASAGAGTCAGTATCCGAACAGTCCATGAAAAGAAGCTACAAGATTTGACATCCATCTGCAGCCTACCTTACTGCACAACAGTTCCACGTGACCAAGTAAAGTAACCAACTTCATAAAACGGTGATTTTATAAGTCACCATTTTCTGAATAAAAAATTCATTTCTTATAAAAAGCCTCCTTTATCACAAGTCATGTAACACTCAAATGACTCTGTTTTCTCTTCCAGAATGGAAGAACATTCTTCTGCTTACTAGAGCTGCAGATTCACTGCTGGGTTCCTGATGGTGGGATTCAACAATAAATGTGGAGATGTCCACTTAGAACTATTGCAGAGCCTAGATGCTTTTGGGTATTCTCCAAAAAAGCTGTCTGGCATTTCACTACCAGTAGTAAGTGCCTGGCATAGTCTGAGTACATCTATCAAATCAGAGTGCTAATGGGATGCAAGAAGCCTCTGCTTTCCTTTCCCTATGCCATGGACAGCACTGTACCAGTCAAATGTTTGTGCTACCACACAATAAAACGTAGCAGGGACCTCATCTATCTCCCAGTGGTGGAGAAAGAGTTCTTGCTCAGCATGTGGCTACACAATCATTTTACCAGYGCAACAAAGGAAGGGGTATCTCAAGCATCACTGCACCAAACATCTAAGCACAGTGACGAAGCGCAGTTTCATGTTACCTCTAATATTGTCCAATGGCAGAGTGTCACCAACTGTAGAGTGCCTCTTTCCCCTTCCTCCTGCCCAGGCAAATACCCTTCCTGCTTCTTGTTTACAGTCTAATAATTTCTAGTTTACAGCCCCAGTCAGCCAGCAAACTCACCTGAAAGCACACCGTGCTCTGCCCTAAATTCTCGAAAGCCACAGGGTCAGTTGCATTGGCAATTGCCAGATCCATCTCTTGGAGGGTACAAAAAGACTCCTCTTGGCAGCACCTTGGACCAGGTGTGATGTGATTGCCATTAACCTCAATTTACTTCCACGCATTCAGAAGGACAAAGATACATATATGGCCACAACAAACAGATTTCAACTGCCTAATTCGTTAGCATCATCATCATGAAGCTGCATCAAGAGGAAGTCAAAATAGCAAGTCTAGAATGTATGATAATAGATAAAAATTATTAAATACTCTACCTATGCACACAATCACCATTTCTCAAACTTCACAGAGAGAACACCTACTAACTGACCAGAATCTGAAAGGAGCTAACAGCAAACACACCTCCTTCAAGATAAGAACAGCAGAAAACCCAAGAACAACAACTTCTATCTCTAGAACATTACAAAAATGGATACAATGACACATTTTACTAGAGCGTTTAGATTTTATTTCCTAGCTCTATAGTGTGGTAACACAAGGACATAGAACCCACCAAAATACTTGGCATGGGACCACCTGCTGATGTTATGCACACATACTTTAGTTTCAATTTGTTTTCCAAAAAACTGAGACCAAGCATAGGACAACAATACGTGAAACTTTTTCCACAGACCACTATTGGGCACAAAATATTTTCACACATAAACTCTTTATAGCCCTCAGCCTTGAAGACCACATCTATTCCTGYGTTAAGAGTTAACCTCAAACTTTTTTTGTGGTGACTGGAAGAAACTTTCTGCATATTAAAGAGCTTCACACCTTCCATGTGCAAGCACAGGTTTTACTCTTTGCATCCTAGGCTTCTGTGTTGGAGCTACTTTGCTAAATTTTTAAGGTACATGTATTTATTTAATATTAAAGCTCATACACACTACATATTTTCTTTTTCTGTACTTGAACCTCTTGAACCTGTACTTGAACCTCTTCTAGTGAGCAAGCTAATACATTTCAAATGAACCATTTTTTTTGTTTCAAACAGCAAATACTACTAAAAAAACCAGCAAACAATAACGTTCTTTTAATTAAATTGATACCATTCCAGTTCTGAAAACAGCTCTACTACAAATGCTACTGTTCGTATCTCTACTACGCAGCAAAGTACTCTTTCACTACTGCTGCTATAAATTTGTTTGCAGTAGACACTGGTATCAACAACCCTGTCTTAAGTAGCAAAGCAAATGAATTCTGACAAAAGATTCCTGATGCAGACTTTAGGATGAGGCAAGAATATAAAGAAAAAAAACGAGGCACAGAGAGAGAACTCGCCTTTTATTCAAGCAAGGGGAAGTGGAAGTCAACAGCAGAGAAAGATACAAGGGCATAGGTCACGTTTAAATGCTTTCTGCAACAGATACAAAGATGCAACATTAAACAATGAGACTATAAGGACAGCCCTAAAGAAAAATGATACTCTTTAGAGATTCCAGACAAGACTACCACAAATTAAGGCCTGAGTCCCACATAATCAATCTCCAACTAGAAAGACGTTTAATATATTCAGAATCTTAAAGCACTCTGCATATCCTTTCGAAAAAGCAGACCTCGTTTTACAGGTAGGAAAAAGAGGAAGAGATTCGGTGACTTCACTCAAAGCATCACAGGCTTCTCTGAAGCACAAAACCAGAGCTGGTCCTAAGCACACGCAGCAGCCGCTTTAACCACACAAAGACAACCTCCCTTGCAGCGCGACTGGCAAGCCGGACAACACAGGCTTTTCCTCCAGACCCTTACGAGACTCTTCCTTTTGTGTTCTACACAGCTGCAAGCAAGCGGAGAGGAAAAGGCGGCAGCGGGACAGGAGAGGCTCACAGGTGCCSGACCCGGCAGCGGCACAGCGCCCGCGGAAGCTCACCTTGTATGACATGCTCCGGGGAGATAGTTTTCTTCTCCGATTTGTTGCAGATCTCGTTGGCCTCGGAGGAGATGAGGTGGATGAATTCAGTGCAGCAGTTGACCACCAGCTCCCGGGCGTCGTTCGCCACACGGACGTTGGGCAGCGTCTCTTTGATCATCTTGTTGATGGCAGCCCTGGGGATGGTGAGGTCGTCGTCGTTGCCGGACGACGAGGCCATCCTGGCTGCGCTCGGCTCACGGGCTGCGCTCAGCGCCCGCACGGGGCTCCAGGGCGCGGGGACCCGGCGGGGGCGGGCGGGGCCGCGGGGAGCGACGTCGAGGAGGGGCGGAGGGCAGAGGGGGCCGGGCCGGGGGTCGCTGCCGAGCCGGGGGAGTCGCGGGGCCGGGAAGGGCTGCTCGGGCTCAGGGCTCCCTCGGCCGCGGCGCCTGCCACTGCCGCCTCCGCCACATCCTTCGGCCGCCGGCGCCGCCGCCTTATGACCAGCCTGAGGGGAGGCGAGCGGCGGAACGCCCCGACGCGCGGCGCAGCTTGACTCGGCTCGGCTGGGCTGGCTCCGGCCGTGCGGCGGCCGCGAGGCGGAAACGCTCCGGCTCCAGCTCAACCTGCGAGGGACGGCGCTTCCGCCGGAAGGGGGAACAGCTTCCGCCGCCGAGAGCACCGGAAGGGCTGCGGCGCCACGTGCGGGCCCCGGCGGCAGCGGCGGCGGCAGCGAGGGCTCCTTTAGCCTTCCCCAMTGCCAGGAGCCGCGCTCGGGCCCCSCCGGGGYTCCCCACGGCCCCGCCCGCCCTTCCCTKCGGTTCCGGCAGGCGTAGGGGATCTGACAGCCCCGGCAGGCTTGTTYCCAAAGCAGGACGGGCTCGGCGCTTCATCCGCAGTTTATTCACGACTTGTAGGCATGGCTGGTTTTACTCGGCATCTGTCTGTAACGCTATATTTTCTGCTTTCACTGGCGCCCTAACCAGTAGCGTCAGGGTTGTATGAGGCAGAATTAGCCAGACCACGAGGGCGTTTGTGGAAGGCCCGTTAAAGCTCACAGTCCTGATTGTGCCTTGGTTGTGCTGTAATGGAAAAGCGCCTGGGAATGCAGCCCAGCCCAAGCTGCGGGCCAGACACACCCACAGCTGAGCAACGCTGAGGGGCTTCTGACAGGCCCAGCCCTTCTGTGGATGGTCCCTGTGCTGACCCTCACCGGCTGGCGATGGGATTTTCGGGCTGCGGAGGGGCGATTTGCCAGGCTTCCCTCAGCCCCAGCAGCATTCTCCTGTCATTTAATTCCTGCTTTCTGATTTTCAGCCTAGCTGCTGTTCCCACCTCTCTGCCATCCGTAGGTTGATGCTGGGCTGCGGGYAGCTGGTGTTTTGCAGGAGGTGTGSGTTAGGATGTMCAGCTGTGCACCGGGGCTGCTGCGGGTGCTGTTGTCCCCTCAGTCCCCGGCTGCTGKCCGAGGGAGGTCCCTGCACGCCCCGCACCTTGGGCCCCACTAAAGGAGTCACAGCTGCAGAGCAAGCCCTGCGTTATCTGCAGTGTTTGGTACCCGCGGGAGCTTTGAGCTGCTCTGGGGAAAGGCAGGGCAGGGCAGGGCTGCTGCAAGTCCCAGCACGGAGTTAGATTTTGGCTTACTGAGRCAGTATTGAAGGAAAGAGAAAGTTGTGTATCCCCAGTGAGCTCCAGCCGGGCTCTGGGGGTGAAACAAGGGCAGCTGCTGGAATGTGCTGAGAAATTGCAGCCTGGAGGCCCGAGGGACACTCGGCCTTGCCTCAGCCCGGGGCAGCCCCGCGGAGAGGCTGGAGGTCACGGAACAGGAATGCCAGGCAGGAACAGCGCCTCAGCCCAGGCACTTGGCTCAGCTGATTTATAGGACTAGGCTGAGAGAAGAAAGGGGAAAAGACCTGCTCTACATGACAGAATTTTGGTTTATTATTAGGATAGCTTGGAACAAGAGGGCTCTGTGTCAAACACTCAAAGTACTGATGGCATTTAATGGATTGAAATTACTTATTACTGACAATAATTCMAAAAAATAGTACTCAGACAGTAAGATATTTTATGTTATGATGCTTCTAAAAATCATTTTATTGTTCACTAAGTGCAATATGCTAGTCACCATTGCCTATAAAGGAAGCATTCCGAATTTTATGGTAAATATATATTAATAATAAATATTCTATTTGTTACATTTTAAGATTGATTAAACTTTCTCTTACGTTGCTGATAAATAGGTCTTGGCTTCTGGAAATGAGAATACCAATGTGATTGAKGGATTACTATGCTAATTCTATCTTAATAAATAAAAACATGTAATATTTTTATGATACTAAGAATCTAAACARTTTGCATACTGTACACATCTTAGTGTGCATTACATTCTCATAAGTAAAGGGGATTGGGTTAATATTGAATACGCAAATATCAGTCAGCATTCATGCTCCTATGAAAACATCTATGGAAAAAGCAAACACTAAACAGAATGAACCTATAGTTAGAGGGTTTTAATTGCAAGGCTTTGCAAACTGTAACATTCGAGAGATACACATTGAACTGAATATCTTAGCTGAGCTCAAACAAGCTTCTTACATGCCTTTTCATAATTACAGACCAAAGGCATTTGAATGACAACATACTGTGTCATCAGTAGCTACAAGAAGTAATTGCAATTTGCACTATATAATCTCATACTTATTGTGAGGGTTTTCCCAGGTCAAAGCTCTTTCTACTTCTCCACCGTAGCAGTTTGATGAAGTTGAGACTTGCACTGAAGATTTTGTCATGCTGAAAAACCATTTTGTAGAATATGTCAATGGGTAGATCYCCATTTGGATCTGCATACTTCAGAGTTGTCATTGGAGTATACARGGTGTTGGTCTGATGGCGAAAAGGTGGGTTTTCTGCAAGAATTATCTTTATTGTGTGCTGTAGAGAAGGAGAAATAAACATTTTTAAGTACTTTTACCAAAATAGTAAAATACCAGTTTTCAGTTAAACTGTGGAAAAGTAGAAGAATAAAGTGCTAGAATTATATAAAACCCTCTATATTGTTTTAATAGAACTCATTAGAAGTTCTTCTTAAAGTATCTTAAGGCCATAAGAAGTATTTCTCTTTCTTAAGAGAAATAAGCATAGTGATAGCACCTGACACCTAAGTATCCTGAATAGTCTTCCAAAATGATTGTGGGCTTATATGCCCACAAAAGGCAAATCCTTCCCTTCACTGGGAAAGGATCAGGACAGTGCATTTTGCAGCAAGTTCTGTGAAACCTCAGTTGACACCAAAGCTATTCCTTACCAGCAAACACCTGAAATCATCATCCCCTCCCACAGCTTGCCTAAACTTGTCTTCCTGTAGGAAGCCCCAAGCACCAGAAACATCATATTTCTTCTATTGAGCCTTGGTGGACTGTGGTGGCTGAGTGAACTTCCCTTAGTGGAGGGATTATTAGTGAGATGGAGAGGACAGGGCWTTTCCAGTGGTGGGAGATCTGTGTGGATGCAAAGAGCATCTGATATCTCAGTAGTATTTAAATTACAATTCATAGTTGTCTTCAATACTTCAAAATCAACATTCTTTTCTTATTTTATATGCTTTTGCTTAAAATTCTGAAGATTCTCTTAAACTTTTAAAAACACTTTTTACTTGTGTATATTCCATTTTATTAAATCTAATGCTTCTGCCAGAAAAACCCACCAACCAACCACTGCATTTATAAATGATGAAGAAAAAAAATTTAAAAGAAGATGAATTTTTGATGAGTTACCTCTGCAACATCTTCAGCACTTTGTCCCAAGCTCTGGAAAATTTGTTTGTAATTTTTAAGGTAAATATTAGTAAACATCTCAGCTGTTTCTTCATCTGCAGCTGAAAGATCCATTTTCATTCCATCTTCAAACACTTTTCTTTCAAATTCTGTAACCACTGGCCCTGGTTCAATCAAACTTAACCTGTTCAAAAAAAAGGTCTACTGGTTGTTGACTATCCTCCATGGAAAATATACCTCTCAATCTGTCTCGAAAAGGAATATTGAGGAGTTGCACTAGCAAGCAGTATATAACAGTACCTTCTATAAGGGCAATCTATACTGCATTTTTGCTTTCCTGCTCCTCCCACCCATCCACATATGATGATGTAGAAATCTGCATAGTTTRATTTTCAGAGAAGTGCTATGATTTAATCCATGACAAAATGAGTGCAGTTGTTACCTGTTGTCTCATGGCTGTGGAATCTAAAGGTGATTTATTCACAAGAACAAAGCAGATTTAAGAAAAATAATTAATGAATGGTAACAAAATTCATTATTTTCTGGACAAAATTCTGCATAAGTTCCTTTGCTTCTCATGATRGAGTAGCTGAAAGAGATGGGGCAATTGCCCAAACGTGTTGGTGATTTTCTTTGTTGAGCTGTCAGTGTTACATAATTTATGATCCCACCACTCTATGATAATAAAATACAATATAGAGACTTTTACCGTGGGTGGACAGGTTCTGGCTGCTGCCAARTCTGAAAAACTTTGTTTTGCTCAGTAGTATATTATAGCAAATCATGGAAATACAGTTACTGGTCAGGTTTTTCCTGGTTCTTTTCTCAGGCAGTAAAGTAACTCCCAGCCACTGTGTTTATCAAAACATTCTTTGGGATTGGGCATCTTTTTAGCCTTGAGTTCTTCAGGGGATGTTGTAAAGGCTCTTCTTTAGAACTAAATCAAGCTCTTGACCTTCACAGCAGAAAAGCAGCTACTGCTGAAATTAAAGCCTTTTCTCTTGTATCACTCTTCCCATTGGACCTTGAATTTTTCCTATTATACTTCCTTACTTTAACCTCCTTTTTGCTSTGTCTGATACTCTTGAAATCTCATTATGAATTGTGATATATTAAGTGTATCATTACATTTATTTAAAATCCCTCCAGACTTTGCAGAACAATCTGCACAATCACAATTTTGTCTCTGAAATTCCACAACAGCAGCTGTCYTTTTTTCCACAAGGCTTAAACGCTTAGACACACATGGGCATTCACCAGTTGTTGGACTTTGCACAAAGAGCAGTAGCAGAATTACATGTGTGGATATACATGTGACAAATCAAACTAAGGTCATACACATGATGAACAGGACCAGTCTCTAAATACTTACTAAAATGTTAGAAATTAGTACACCACACTTCTCACTTTCCTTCCACCTCCCTTCATTGCAGCTATCTCACCCTGTGTAACATTCTGGTGGATTTGCACTTGCTCACTCTCTGTGATGAGCCYTTGAACTTTTTTATCTTTGAATTGCCTAAGAAGGCCATTATCCTTTCTAATAGCCTTTAACTGTTCAAGAGAACATGTTTATTTTAACAGCTAGATCTTTTTATTTGCCTACATAGCATGAAGAGCATGGGTATTTCTATGCCTTTTGTGATGTACAATTTTCAAGGGCTTCTCAGTCTGTTTAGCAGCAAGCTTAAAAGATATTTTTACTACCTCTACATATATTTTAAACTATCTAAAATATATTTGACACCAGTGGAGCAATACTTACTGCAGTTTGAACTTGAGTGCTTGTATAGCTAAACTTTCGCAGAATCCTTCCACAGCAAACTTAGATGCCGCGTAAACATCATTAAATAAGATGCCTGATGGTACAAACAAAACATCCTGAGAATGTGATTGTACCCAACATACTYGTAGTTTAATTTTAAAAACTCAGGTGTTTTCCCAAAATTTTTATAGTCTTCTGGGAAAACATCAGAAAAATCCTTGTGTATACTGAATCTAAAGAGTATTTTGTGCCTGTGTTCTCAAAATTGCTTAGTCTAGGAAAGATGCTTGCCTAATGGTTTTCCTCGTCCTAGCTGATGCTGTCGTCTCCTTGGATGATATTATTTTGTAGTCTAAGATATGAAAGTGTCTGTACATAAAACACTATCTGCATTATTTATCAGCAAGACTTTAATAGGCTCTAGATTAACAGAGGCTGAGTGTATTGCAGGAGATACAATTATGCAAGAGATCCAGCTTGCATCTGAGTGAATTAGAAAAAGCACATCAATCCATTTAGGTGGAATGTAAGTATTGTATTAAAATACCTATTCTTGGAGTTTGATGGAGAACACCTCCTCACCAGGATAATCCAGGTAAGATCAATGTCACAGTTGTAATAATTGAAAAAAAACCACAGCTAGACAGGATGGAATACAAGAGTAGGAATGTCATTATCTGGCACTAAAATTTGACTCTCAAGTTCTATGAGACTAAAACTTTACAAAAAGGTGGTGCAGCTRTCCAGGATTTTATTCTATTATTATTGTGTACTGTAGAGAGTGTGGTAAGCATGTTTGTCTGTTCCCATAATTTTTTCCAAGAGGAAAGAGAAAAGCAATGTGAAGGCCTATTTTCCAGATAATAAAAATAGAAAAAATTTAGAAATATGTATAGTCTAAGTTAAAACTCTTTAAAAAATTTAYTCTGCAGCTTTTGTTGTTAAAATACCATGATAGTAGCTGTGTAGTAACAAACTACCTGGATGCATAAAACCCACCATAAAACCACCCCTGGATTTGAGTTTTTTAGCGTTACAAAACACAAGAGTCAGAATGCCAGCTCCTAAGAATTKTTTTTCTTTTTAGATAAAAAGAGGAAAGCTTTAGACTTTGAATACAGAACTCTTAGTTCAAGCAAACAGGAAAAACCAACTTTACCTTGTATTCCCATGACACTGCTTATTATAACTATATGCCCACTCTTTCTCCTCTTCATGTCAGGCAAAATCTCCTTCAGGAGTCGAACCAGGCCAAAGAAGTTGGTATCCATCACAGTTTTCATTTCATCTATGGTCTGACATTCAATAGGTCCAATGAGCCCCATTCCAGCATTGCTCACTGCACAAAATGGGAGACAACAGCAAGCAAAAACCTCCATAAACATACACTTGTAATCTTTACTGGAAAGCATTTGAAAGTAATGTGAGGATTAAGGGTTAAATGATCCTAAATAATCCTTAAAGAAAGGATGAAAAAAAAAGGTTAGTCACTAAGGCTTTCCAAATACACTCGACATTTCCATATGTCTTTATTTTTAATTATGCTTTTAATCAAATTATCTGACATTTTGCATTTTAACTCATTTATTTCTGATTAATYCTTTTAAAAAGTATTAAAGGATTACAGGAAAATGAGTCAAGAATTACCTGTATTTATTTATAATTCAGTATTAAGTATTGGAAGCTACAGCCAATACGCATAGAAATGAACAAAAACCTTCCAAGAGTGATAGACCAAACCATATTTTGATCTATTTTCTGTTTTATTAACATTCATATCTTCAAGAGAAAATAAACCCCCGACAAAATAGACAAACAAACCAAAACACAYTTCCATTGATTTTTATTTGACTTCTGGATATTTATAAGTGGGGAATGATGATAGGACTGGTATTCTGCACTAGAAGTAGTATGTCAAATYAGAGTGTAATAAATTTTGCAGAAATTGTTGTTAAGCACTGCTTTAATAATTAATCAGAAAAAAAAGCAGGTCCATAATTTTCTATTAGGTAAGATTTATTAGCTGATGGTGTAAGCATTTCCATCTYAATAAAAGACTAATATTTATTTTTAGCAAAGCTATATGCAAACATTTCTTGTTGAATGACTGTAAAGTACAATTGCAATTCTCAATACAAAATGAARATATCCTTACTTGCTTTGTGTTTGTTCTTTTACTTGCTAATTCCCAAATGCTGCTGCTTTCTTAGTAMAGACAGTTGTTACCTTCATTGTAAAAAGGGCTATGCTTTTTCAATAGGGTAGAAAGTCTTGCTCATGAAGGTGCCAGTTTAGGCAAAATTTCTCACATTTACTAAAAATATGTATTGTTTTAGCCAAAACACCTCTCTGATCAAGTTTCTCCTTTGTAGGCAGGGAAAACAAGCTTCACAGAAGCAGGGTAAGATTTAATCCACTCATATCTGCCTGAAGTGTTAAGAATCTTGAACCAAATACTCTAAGTAATTATTACTTTGACAATTTAAAAAATACACTAATGAAACTTCTCCTGGGTATTTGAGACAATGTTTTGTAGAAATCTGATATCTGTTCAKAGCACACACATCCTGTACTTGCCTAGGACATCAATCCTTCTGTCAGGGATACTATTGACACAGGTTTTAATGGACTGTTCATCACAGACATCCAGTTGTTTGATTTCGAGGGTTTTGCCCAGCCTGTGACCTGCAGCTTCCTCCAGTGGTTCTTTCTTGGCCAGATTCCGCATTGTGGCATACACTGCAACACACCAGAAACAACACKTACCAGAAATAAACTCTTTATTGTGGCAGTCTTACTGAGCACTATCAAAGAACATTGCATGTACATCTAGATTTTAAATATCAGTGATAGAAACCAGATAAAAACTAAAAGTTAAAACATTCTATTTTCAACATATATTGTCATTAATTTCCCAGTCTGGTTCTAAAATCTTCAAGAAATTCAAAAGTAGAATTGAACAGTATGTTTTCAGTGTMTTTTCTTGACAGTAGAATAGGAAAACAAACCAGAAACAAGTCATAAAACTGAATACAAATGCCTGTTAAATCACAGGGAAAAAAACAGCACCATCTCAAAAAGTATGTTTTTATTAAGAACAGATAGATTGTTACCTTTAAATCTTTTCTGTTCATCTTTTGCCATTTTTACAGCTAGAGCCAGTCCAATTCCTGATGAGCAACCTGTAATGAGGACATTTCTTCTTGCCATTCTTTTCACTGAGTGGTTCAATTCTTCAGAGGAGCAACAATGTAAATGTACCTACAGCATAATGTGGCTGGCCTTTAATGGTATCTCCAGCATCCCTGAGTCAACAAATCTGAAAATGCACACCTGGACCTTGCATGATTAAGGGATAATCTCCAACTAGACAAATAGAAGCAGATGCTTCTACATGTGCTTGTAATCTGCATTACCAAAACTGATTCTATTTAATACAAAACTTGATTAATCTATAAAATGAGGCATTTGTAAACTACATGGATTTTTTTTTTTTAATAGAATAACCAGCTTGCACAGTACTGGCAGGAAAAGCCTTGCCACAGTTACAGTCAGTCTGTAGTGCCAAGTCCTCTACTCACATSTATGGAAAGTAAACTGCACCAGGAATTTACCAGTTTCAGCCGAGCGATCCCTCTGCTAAAGCTGTTCAGAATTCCTACACCTACAGCACCCTCCTTGTTCTTTTGTAACAGACTGAGGAATGGATTTCTTCCCTGGTGCCTTACTATTGTTAGAGTCCTGATAAGCATTACAGAAAAAAAAACCCATTGAAAAATGGGATGTGAATTCTGAAAGAGACAGGTTGTTGGACAGATTCCTCACATTTCATTTTGGCAGTGTTCCCAGTCAAGAACAGAGAAAGTGAGCAACTATGCTGCAGTGGAGACCTGAAAGGAAGATGTTGAACAGACCAGCTTCACTACATTCTTGCTAAGACTGAAATCTCTTTCAACACTTGACTCTGCAATTGACAAGTCAGAAATTTAAAAAAAATAAGAACTAGCCTAAAGTCTAAGTTTTGGAGAAAATACTTTGCATATAAACTGGATTAAACAGAGAGGCATTTGGACTGGCACTTCAGTGCAATTCCTGTTTAACATACAGTAACTGTAGGCATACTACATTCAGGAAGAAAATCAGTCCCTTGTTTCCTGAGTGACAGAAAAAAAATACCCTAATAAACAATTAGCCTAATGAACAGTGTTCAGCTAATTGCAGTGCCATTATACACAGTAAAATGTTTTCCAAGATTCAAAAACCCCATGTCAATGCARTGCACTTCAGAAGAATGAACTCAGTGTTCCAGTATTTGTATAGATGTAAACTGGTTATTAACTGAAAAAAAATAGGACACTACAGAAATATTTAAATTATGAAATTATGTTTAAAAAAAAGTCCATCCTTTCCAAAAGAAATAAATTGACTTGAACAGTATAAGTGGAATCGTTAASTTCTCAGGCAAGCAACAATAACAGCAAAACAGCAAAATAACTAAAGATAAAATATAATTATGATTATACTTATTTATCCAGTCCAACCCAAAGTTTAACCAGATAAGACAGTATACAGACAAAATTTTAGTGCAAATGCTATTTAGCTGATTCAGAGATTAGGCAAATTGCTTTTGCTGCTCATGCACATTTATATTTAGTGCATGTAGGAGGAGCAAACAAGGCTTTATGCAATGCTAGGTAGTGGCATTCCACTAGCGTTGTGATGCAGCTGTAATTACAGATTGGTTATATTTACCACTTGAAATCCTGATTTGAAGGGCTTATATATTCCACTGCTTTTAAAAATCTGTCTGAAATTTGATGCATGTACTTTTAGGCTGAAGCAAAGTGATGTGCATAAAGAGAATTAAAAAATAAAAGTTATTGCACTGGTCAACCTAATTCTAAGGTATATCCTTTCCAGTCATGTAGAGAAACAATTAGCTTGATTTAAAACACACAATATATTTATTTCTGTAAATAACAGTGGGTTTTGCCACATCATAATTTTCATAATAGTAGAATAAATAATCTGAAAATGCAGAAATACTTCAGGTGAGGGTATCTTGCCCTTATCACTGGTAGCAGAACGTGTGGCTGGTTTTGTAGAACTGCTTAATGTAGACCATGTGGCATTTGTGGAACATATTTACATAAAGTGAAAGGCCCAGTACTGCCCAAGGAGTTTAGCACACTGCCACTTGCAGAATTGCTGAAATACGTCAGATAGGATTGTTGGCCAAGATCCACTTTTAATATGCAAAACACTTAACTGAGGCCTGGTATTTAAACTRAAATATATTCAATTCTGTTCCTCTTCTGTACATCAACTAATCTACTAACTTGATTTTCTGAAGTATGAATCTCGTCTTAATGCACATAAATCATGTGTGCATTAATCAGAMTTAGACTGAGGCCTCAAAACCATATTTGCAGTTTCTGATGCTTATGCAAATATTAAAAGCGGGGCCATTAGCCATTCATACCAGCTAAATTGTGTAGTACTTTTGGAAACCTGGAAATAAATACATTTTACAACACACAGTTATGATGCAAATTTAATCAATGAAAATTTTGTACGGATTTTCATTTAATTAAAAATAACAAAAGAAACAAGCTCAAGCTTTATGGCCTGTCCCACAACCCTTTGCATCTTAAAGATACTGCTTGGAGTAAAGCAAGCAGGTTTTGCCGGTGTCTATGATCAAATCAGTGTCCCAAAACATCTTACAAATATGTCAATTTGAATAAGGTGTTGTGTCTGCAACACTGCATGCGTACAAAAAAGATAAAATATTCCCAAACAAAAAGTGTTGATAAGRTAGTACCATGGTGCTTTTAATTAGAAGTGAGAYAGGAAACAAGTACATMATTTWAAAAAAAACTTTAAAAAAGATGACAGCTGAAATTAATCCCTACAACTTAGGATATATAATTTTATTTTTAAGTATAAAAAATAAATACGTTATTCTATGAAGGCAATATCCCAATAACAGTAGGAAAAATAAAAAGGTTGTCATCTGCTTTAGTACAAATAACTACATTCCTTAGTTAGAAATACAATGTTAAAATTTCCTCTTTGAATGCACCTTTATGATGCCAGTAACCACATTCCTGGGTTGCTGCTTGTTCAATGAGCAGCAGTCATTTCTTCACACTTCTTGCTCCTGAAACAAAGTATCTCTGATTAATTACATTTCTAAATCAATTTGCACCAAGATGTAACTCCTCATTACTAAAAATTACCATAAAAATTCAAGAACACTAACAACAGGTCTCAAGTCCATGGCTTCCTTCTCAAATGCTGACCCCCTACACTGATGTTATTTTTTTGTTCCCTGTTACTGTAACTGGAGTGCATTTGCTTCTGAATGAGCACAACTTACAAATTTTCCACTACATAATAAGTTCTAGCAGATAAGTAGGAAGGTATTATGCAGAATATTTTTGAGAAGAAATCTTCATATGCAAATCCCTGTAAAAATTTTGTATAATGTAAATTTTGTACAGTACTATCTTTTGAAATAACTCCTCCGTGTAAGGCTTAAGGTTTCATGTTGGATTGCACAGTTGTTCTTAAGTTCCCAACTACKTAAGTTTCTATCAACTGAGGAAGTGCCTGTAAAGACGACATCAACAGTATTACAGTATCAAGTATCAAGAGGAAAAAAACCTATGATGTCTGCCAGAGCAAGAAAAATAGCAACACAAATGTAAGCTGTATAGAGAAATAAATGCAGCCAAACAGCATTTTTGAGATCGGAGTACTTCTGTTAATTTCTAGAGCTTTATCTTCCCCCTACCCCTCCTTTTAAAAACAAGTGTATATGCTGGATCTAATTATTCAACAGATCATTTCTAGAAAAAACAGAGTTTTAAGTCTCTTTAGTACATGATACACAGCAGCTATGTTTACATTAGGCAGGGTACAAGAGACTGTACCAGCCACTACTATTTCACATCATATTAYACTATGGTTCCTGTTAACTATGAATTTTAAAAGAGATTATGCTGGTTCTCTGTTTATCTGTGTTTAGCTAGGTGGTTATTCTTTATGAGGAGTGCTATACATCCTGTACACAAACACTCGTAAGTAGCATATGAGCAGCTTACAGTTAATAATTTTTTTATGCTATGCACATTTTTTCAAAAACATTGTAAAAATCACCCTTTTAAAAWGTCAATCAGTGTAATTTTTTCCTACTTCACTTACCAATTTAATACAATTTTGCTTCTCATTTCAAAAGGAACTATGGTCACAAAAATTAAGATTGCTATTAGTCCAATCTGCCTTTTTTTTTAATAAAGGTAATTACTTCAATTTTCCAGAAAARTGAAAAACCCATTCCTTATGTTCAGTAAGACATTTTCAGTTCCTTTATTTGGAATATTTACAGCTTCTAAGGGTAGCAGAGTGATGTTACAAAATCTTCACTGCAGATTGAAGCAGAGTAAAACAAAGRTTCAACTGAAAACTCTGTGACCTGGTTATTTTATGAGTCCTAAAGGGACAGAGTGGACCAGAACAGAAATCAACCCTCCTAGCAGTTCCTTCCCTGAACTAATATATTTTCTGTAATGAGCAAGGAAGGTAGTGTGTTAAGAAGAACAAGAATGAGACAGACTGTAGCCCTGGGCAAGACACACTGCCCCTCTATTCCCTAGACAGATTAGGCAATTTAGTTTTTAGAACTAGGACAGAAAATTTCAGTGGAAGACTGATCAATCAGTCTGCCATGGAGAAACTAATAGAAAAAGTGTTTTCTTACATAAATATACTCAATTTTTAACAAAGAAGGAACCACATCATATTCTAGGTGGAGGCAGAAGCCCTCTGCAACRTATTTCATATTTTACATAGAATGCTTCCAAAATCCCATGGTTTTTTATCTTCACTCCAATGAAAATAAAATTTCATTTCCTTATCCCAAGTCTCCTAAGGAACATGACTGGACATAGGTCTATTTTCGAAGCCTTTCTTAWATCATTCTTAGGCCTCTCTCTACGTGGTATTCTTTAGCAATTTGTCTGGAAAGAAAGGGTCTAGTCAGCAATTGTACAGGGCCTAGCTAGGAAATTCTTTCTTTCACAATCATCCCTTAGGAGAAGTTGGAAATTGTTAACAGTATGTGTGAAAGGTAGCAGCAATCACTGTCCTGTTCTGGAACATTGTCAATAACTTAAGAGAATTCAAGATGGAAGAGCTGACATTGCTTTAATTTGCAGTGAAAAACCTTCCTATTCAGTTGTGACATAGCCAAGCCCTCATGCTCTAGAACACAGATCAAATGCCTTTGGTGTTCACACAGAAATAAGGCTTCACTGACATCTCACCCAAGGGAAAAGAAACGCAGAAATACAGCATAATCRAAGTGGCAGAGGCCATTTTGGCTTTGATGTTTAGCTCCAGCTTGGAATCATGCTTGACCGAACTTAATTCTGCAGAAAGTTTGTTTATCTCAGATCCCATTTATACTTGTAGTGACTGATTCATGYACCAAACCAAAGATTTGTATAATTCATTAAGTTAGCCATCTTCTTGAGTCCCTCCATACACTACCATACACTGGCCAAAAAATTCTCACTTCTCGTTCTGACAAGCATGCAGATCTCACTGCCCTTTTGATGCAATAATTTTCACAAGATAGGTKCCCAAGTCAGAAGCTCTCATTCAGCATATTGGTTTTTTTCATTTCAAGGAAGACCATGCTGTCCATAGCCAGAAAATCAGGTCCCTGAAGACAGCCAGTAATCAAATTTCTCCAYAGAAAGCAAACAATTAAGAGTGTGCCATTAAGTTTGTAATTTTAATCTAATTAAACCAGTTTAATTTTAGGGGATTAAGATTCAGCAAACACAAGGATATAAAATACAATGATTCTGGGAGAAGTAATGACACTTAAAGAGACACCATATAATTTCTTCTAGGCAGTAGAGTAATGGCATTAAAAATCGATAATTACTTGTGCAGCCAAGGTATGTTTTACCTTTCCAAGAGCTTCTGGGCTATATTATTTTCTTTCATTTTCTTTTTTTCTTCAGCTGATTTATTTCCTGATCTCTCTGGAGCAATTCAAACTCTTTTTCACGAAGCTCWTCTTTAGAATGCTGGAGTTTCTTCTCTAAGCTCTCAATCTGAACATAAAATGCAATTAAATCAGAAAAAATATTTTACCAAAGTTAGAATAATTTTATTAAAAAMCAAACAAACACACATACAAAACAAAGAAAACTCACAAATATTGTCACTTTTACTGCTGACTTTGGATTCCTCTGTCAATTTTTTATTTTGTCTACATTTTCCTTTACTAAAAGAGTAGTTTGGGAGCTGCATCATATATGAAAGTGATAAAAAATAGGTTTTTTATTGAAAAAATAGGTTTTAGCTTTTACACTGTTACAGCCTTGCAAAATTTATAGTTTTAAGTGACAAAGTATGTTTATTGGTACGTTATTAAGGTACTTCCTTCCCTCTCCCCACAAAAAAAAAGAGTTTTCAGTTCCTAAATTAAATCTGGCCAGCTATTGTGTCCCAGGACCAGACTTTCTCACAGAATCAGCTGTCCTTTGTTAAGGAAACTGTGTGTCTAATTAAGCAAGAATTACCTGTTTATTGCATTCCTTTATTTCCAACTCTGACTTCTCTAAATTGCACTGTAATTGAATTATTTGTTGTTCCATTTCTCCCTTATGTTCACGAACTGTCATATCCAATTGTGCAATCTAGAGGTAAAAAGGAAAGAAAATTAAGTATTTAATTTTGAACTAAAATACAGATTAGAAACAATATTACAAATTATGAGAGCAAAAGGAATGAAATTAATGCTTTGTAGCCTCAAGAGTACTCTCTCAAGTAGTCAATATAAAGCTATACCCTAGCTGTTTCATTTAAATTGKGGCCAAAYATAAAAATAAAAGGRRAAAATTGGGAAAAAGTCCATAAYTGAATATGTTAAGTGCTCATATGCAGAATGCAASCCTAGTTCTCCTTTAAAAAGAAGTATGTGTAGTTTATTATCCACCTTGTTAGGAACCTTGCCAARCCAAAAGAAATCAATTCATGAAATGCTTTGATGAATTTCTGGAGCAGCTCACKGTAGCAAAAATATAGTGCAAGATCTGTCCTCCTTACAGTGTCAGTTCCTTAAACAGATTYATTCAAATTCCCACTCCTCCTTCTCTCTGAACCTCAAATATTCTTGAATACAAAGGCTGGTAACTCCTGCAGGAAGAGGCTTATTSTAAGTGACAGAAGAAGAATTTTCCCATGATGGGCATCAAGTCCTGAAGCCAGACCAAAGACTGAAAATATTTCAAGTGAGCTACAGAAATTTATTCACAACAAAGATATCACTTCATATTTAGAGGCTGCTTTAATGTGACTCAGATATGCTCCAGTGGAAACAAGGAAAGGAATCTATCATCTCCAAGCACTCTTCAGCACAGATCTTTCCTTCCTCTTAGCAAACGTCAAGATGAGAACAGTWATCCCATAACTATCATTAATGAAGACCCTTCGGACAGGTTCTATCATAAAGCTTCTGTTCTATCAAAACAAAAGTCTGTGGTCCCTTAAGAGAGCACAATCTGATTTTCCTGGTTGACACTGGCTGTAGTAACCAGTACAGTTTGAGACAATACATCAAAGTAACCAAACTGGCAGGCTTTTTTTAAGTTATTACCATACAGCAGGAATAATTGACAGTAACATGCTTAAAAATTATCTGACCTGAGCTACTCTTTGTTTCAGTTCCCAGTTCCTTGCTTTCAGTGCTTGGTCCATSTCAAGGAGTTCTTGCTTTTTGTCTTCAATTTCACTCTTGCAATACCTGAAATTCTCATATGTTTAAATACTTAATACACATTCATTTACTTAAAATATCCAGCTTGAAAATCATGAGATCTATTACTTAAAGCATGTTACCCTATATGAGAATCAACTAATTGATTGCAAGGAAACAAACCCAAATAGAATAATTCTGTTAATTATATTCCAGGTGGGAAATTCCTAATAACTCTATTATTCGGGTTATTTAATTGGCTATATCAGGATCCTTTAAAAAGAAAGTATCATTAATTTTTGGTCAGAAAGGAAACTTGACTATTCTTATGATTACTTCAGCTTTGGAATTCAGAAAATAATTTCAGCAGATTTTTAAACAGAATTCCCAAAAAATAATTCAGCACCACTTTTAGAAATTAAAGAAGAGCCAAGGATCTCAAGTATCAAGTTATCTTATAGCCCCAAAACATCCAAAAAATAGAGCTGCTGCTAAGAACATTAAATAATAGAAAGCTGCTAAGAACATTAAAAACCCCCATCCAAACTACTTGCTGTTCTTAAAGAATAACTAACACAACTGAGCTTTCATGATGGRAAAGATCCCAGCTTACCTGAGCTCAGTTGTTAGATCCACGATAGCAATGTGCTTCTCCTCCAGAGAGGACTGTGCATTCTGTAATGCATCTTGCAATTCCTGAAGCTGTGGCAAAGTGATCTTTAATTCTCCACGGGCGTTCTGTAATGCAGACTCCAGTTCTGCTATTTTCTGTAAGGCTTCCCTGTGGCAAGTCTCAGTTTGAAGCAGCTTGTCTTCTAAATCATTCACTATTTTACAGTCACACCACAAAAGACAGAATGTTTAATTATCAGTACATCAGGGTCTTTATGCAACACCACTATCTTGTAGCACTTTTGATCATAATAAATTTTCAGTATCACTATTTTTTACGACAATCTAGAAAAACAGTGACTTCTTATACAACAAAATTTTTATGGCACCTCAGTACTTGCTAGTTTTATTCAGTTCATAATCAACACTGGACTTGAGACATGAGGACATATCTAAAAACATCTGGCCCAATGAGACAGCCCACAGAAATACAGTAACTGAATATACAGTGCTAGGGAAAATGAAAGCAGTATTGCTGGTATTTCTCTGGCTTAAAACAATGATATGATTAAATGAAATGGAAGAGGATGGATTGGAAAGTTTGTTATTTCCACAGACTTGTGGGGTTTTCTGTTTGTTTCAAAGAGCTGAATTTTTGCGAATAGCATATGCCTTTATTAAATCTATGTGTCTTGTTTGGTTATCACATTAAGAATGTGCATTACCAATTTATAGGGAACTTACTTATACATTTCACCTGGGGTAAGGGTATATACCAAAAGAGTGAGAATTTGCAATAGTAAGTTTAAAAAAAGTTGGTGATTTTTTTCTGGGTTGTGGGGGTGTTGTTCATTTGGGTTTGGTTTTGTTTGGATTTTTAAAAATTACCATTTTTTTACTTTTTTTTTACTTTTTTGACAAGTACACTCTTGTACTTGATTATGAAATGGAGGGCGGGGAGAGGAAGATGTCTAATACATAYAGAGGACTACTTTACTGAAAGGAGGCCTGAGAAACAAAATAGCCAAATTACCCTCATTTGCCTTTTTATTAAGCTCTGATCTTGCTTCTTCCAAAGTGATATCCAACTGATTTATCTGCAGTGCTTTGTTTTCACCATCTTGTTTTAATTGCACTATTTCTTYTTCCATGCCAGTAAGCTCATTCTTGCACTGATCCAGCTCCAATTTAATCTGTCTAATAGAAGCAACCAGAACAAAATGAACCATGGAATAACAAGAGCAACATGCCCTAAGWCAAGTGTTTGTGAAAAAAATAGAAATAAAAGTCATGTTAAGTAGGCTTTACTTGAACTGAAAACTATATTCTTTAAGATGAGCAAGCTCTTGCAGAATGTACTATCTGCAATTACAAGCAAGTTGATACATCTAWAAATTGAACTGCTTTGTGAAGTGCTATCTTAAGGCTAAATAGTTTGCCAGAACATGCATTAATTCCAYTGGAAAACTGTTCCAGGAACTCATACTTCTGCTTTCCAGTCTATGCTCAYGGAGACTGAAGTGTGTAGCAAACAGGTGAACACCATCTCAGACAGCAATATCTCTCATCCATATGTCCATGTGCAGAATACAMCTCTCATTTATGCCAAACCTACCTGATTGTACAGTTAAGTTCATCCACCTTCTGTCTGTTTAAATCTGCTTCTTGAGCAGCTAGGTGAAGTTTCTCCTCCACCTTTCTCAACTCATCTTTTGCACATGCTTTCTGCTTCTGAAGCTCTTTTTCCAAATTGAATACCTATTTAAAATGGCATTTAAAGAGTACTTTTAAATTGCATACCAAAGAAATACACATTCTTGTCTTACAACTCACATGGGGAGAGTTTTTACACAACAGATTTCTTTATAGTCTCTGTGTAATTTAAGACTAAAACTCTACACATTYGAAAGACAATTTGTTTCTAGTAAATATAACAAGGTGCAACTTTCTGAATTTAAATGCACTTCTCCATAACTGCAGTCAGATTTTCCAAGTACCTAGCCATTCTAATGCTAGCTAGAATTTTTGATAGCTCAGAACCACCTTAAGGTAAAACAAGTCACTAAACTCTATKTTAGAATTATCAACTCAGTTATCAAAGAAATATTCAGATTTTATAGGTATTATGAAAACATATATAAAGCATTTCATTTTCTCTATGTGTAGACACTTCTCACCATACTGTACCTGTTTTTCAAGTTTAATTTGATTATCTTCCAGCTCTYCATTTCTAAGAGTTTCTTGCTGTAACATTTGCTGCTGATGATACAAAGATTGTTGCAGGAGAGTATTTTGTTCACTCATGTCCTGAATATTCTGACCTTTTATTTTTATTTCTTTCTGTAAATAACAAAGCTGAAAATACATTTATTTTCAATTACAATAAAAGATTTTTATTTGCACTTGCATCAGCTATTCTGTGTCAATGAGCACAGAATCAAACTTGTGATTAAATAAAACTTTTGGATCTGAATTTAGTTGCATTACAGTTTCAACAATACATAACAGACAYCGTAATTCATCACAGAGCTGTGGTCTATAAAGTGGAGAAAGTAGTAACTTCTCAGCTCCAGGTTTTGGTACTTGCTTTTTAAATATAGCCTATTACTATTTTAAAAACATGCATAACATTTTTAGTTTCTAAATAATGGAACTACTTTTCTTTCTGTAGAAAGTCTTTGTTTTCCCCTTGAGATTTTGTTCTCAGTCCTCCTATTTATTTCTTCCTGCCTACATGACAATAGCCATTACAATAAAAAATGGAATTTTGAGTGCCTAACTTGTTTTATGTTGAACTGTCTGGTTTCTCAGTGATGAATGCCAGGAGGAGCTCTTGGAGGAAACAAAAACAAGGGAACTGTTCTTTCAAAAAAAAAAAAATCAAAAAGAAATCACTAACTGCTCACTCTGAAGACAAGTAGTGACTGGAACTTAATTATGAAAACAATGGTCACAATTACAAAGCCTCACTTGCCACACTTGATGTTTCACACAGCATCCAGTCCCTTCATATGCAGTATGGGAACAATAAAGTTTAGGGCTTAGGAAGCCACAGTAAATATCACAGGCTTGTGTGCGACACAGAGCACTGATTCCCATTAAGTTAACCCTGTACAGGATCTAGCAATCTCCACTTGACTAAAGCCTCTCTCTCAGCAGGTAGGCCAGCACTGACATGATCAGCCTACTATATAATTTGTTCACCCACAAATTAAAATCCAGCCTAATATTAAAATTAACTCTTTCTTGCTTTCATGTAGTAGTAGAAAATATGATAAAACTCAGGGTCTTAAAGTAAGCATTTTCTTATGCYCAGGACTTCTTCCCCATTAAGACAGTTAAAAAACAGATCAATTATGTGCACTTAAATTTATATTGCAATAGTGTTCTCTCCATTKTTTCCTAGATAATGCTTTGTTTCACATAATTCTGATTTTGTTACTTCTTTCAACTTCATTTATCTTAGTGCTTCTTTCCCATTAACTTATCCATGTGTTTCTTACTTATGATTTTCCTCTTTACCCTCACAAAACGTATCATCTTTTCCCAGCTTACTTTCTACTCATAGTTCCTGTTGCAAATTTTGGCTGTAATTTCACAAACCTTTAGATTAAATCAATCATAACAAGTGTTATGTGCAGCACAGAAGAGTTAYAAAACAACTTGTTACCTCTTCAGACCTTTCTTTCAGCTGATTTTCAAACACCTCTTTATTTTCTTGTGACTGACTCAAATACAGTGCAACTTCTTCCTTACAAACATTTAGTGCTGACTCAAGTTGTCGTACCTGGTTGAACGCAACAGATTACTTAAAATTGCATAGCATGGTTTGTGTTAACTAGTYTAAAAATTGTGTTAAAAGACATCTTTGTGTAAAATATCAGAAAAGCTACATTTTTATCRTAAGAGTATTAAAACAGTCATGGAAGATTATAGTAAACTTTAAAACAGAAATAGTCTTCAAAAACTAAAATTATTTGTGAAATTCAAAATTACAGTACTTTAGACTGTGTTTATATCAGATGAGACTATCGGTTATGAGAAGATATGCCAGCATTTGTCAGTAGCTAGAATTCAAAAGCAAACATATGGTCAATACCAAGTCCATCGTGCTTTATTACATAYAGAACTGTATAAATAAATTTGGAATTATCATCTTAGGTGAGTTGACACACAAGTTTTTWAAAAAAACCCACTCAGATATTACTACACTTATTTTCAAAAAGTTACCAAGCAGCATGTTTTCCCTTTCTGCAATGGCAGACAGTGTCTGAGTTTCACCGAAAGGGAAAGGAAGAGCTTTGAGCAGTGCAACACTGTTAATATATTTTACACTTTTAATGTTCATTTAGATTTGAGTAATCTCTAACACATATAACCTTGAACTGATAAAAATGATAACAAAAAAATCCCCAGAGATCTTAAGGCAAAATAATTAAGCTTTTCTTAACTGTTTCGTTTCAATGCTACGATTTCTTACCATTGAGAATTGTGCTGAATTTAGCTGCAGAATGACTCCTGCTTTCAATTTTGCAATCAGACTGATGGTTTGCTAAATCATACTCAGTGTGTATCTCTGTCCCCAGCTGATTCAAGGGCTTTYTGAAGACAATGTGTCCTAATTTTAAATCTCTAGAAAATATCTCAAATGCTACAAAGCCACTTGGATAGACAATTGGTCCAACACAAGCTCAGAAAGAGCATGCTAACAGCAAAGTTCCCACTGTCTTCTCCTGGTATCCTGAAGATTTAATACTGTTTGAAACATGACTGGCGCCATTCCCCACACGGCACTGGTTTATTAAAATACATTGCAAGTTTATTAAAACATGTTGCAAGTGCTGCATGGAAAATATTTATCAGGCAAACACTAGGAAGAGGTATAGATGGCTAAAAACATTACCAATATTATAGTATATGGAACTAAAATACACACACACACACACACACATATATATATATATCTCTCTAAAATATATACTATATATAGACCAAAATCACATATAACATTAGCTCTGTGAGACGATGTTGGACTTTAAAGAATATAATAAGCACAAGTTTGCCTTATTTGTAACTACAATATTTGTATAAAGCAATTATGAATTGCATAATGTCTTACTGTAGGTTTCATCATATTTCTTTTAATATAAAAAAAAGAAAAAAACAAAATTAAGCAACAGATAAAAAAAGAAATACTTCAGATAAATGACTTCTGGAATATTTACTTAAGACAAATTTATATAAAACTGTTTTTCTATAGATGATAAAAGGAAATACACTGTTAMTGCAAACTTTTAAACTGTTACTTGAAAATTACAAAGAGCTTACTAACCTTGATTTTTTCTTCTGTCAACTGATTTTCCAACATCTTCAATCCTTGATCTTTTTTGACATTTAGATTTTCCATTTCCTGTTTTTACAGATATTTTTATTTAAGAGAATAAAATAAAAGTATTGTATAGTATAATAAATATAATAGCAGTAATAYAATAACAGTAATTTATTAAAGTCATGTTCACAATCAGGAAAAAAAACAGATCAGTGTATTTAAAACACAATTGCTTGTATAATGTATTTGTGTACATGATACTCTGAAATTAATTTGGTTGCTGATAGATGTCTCTTCATATTCTGCAGCAGCAGGCATTATTAAAAGGAATAAAACATCATCATACTAGAACATTCTCRGTTTTCCCCCTAGTGAAGGATAGAGGCAATAATTCTTTATCCAGATCTCTTTCCTTTCATTAGAGAGAGAAGCCCAAGGGGCAAACCAGAGGCATAAAGATTATGCTAAGACACAAAATACTGAAAGGTCATTAAAATTTGTACAATATATAGTGGTAGTAGTAACTGGTRACTACACTAGATTCAGTCAATTTTTCAAACAAGAATTAAGATGCAAAATCACAAGCACCTTTCATTTTCCACAATTTTTCCATGTATTTATGGATATGCCTTTCATTATTYTTAGTCACTTGTTTGATTTGAATTTAAACAAAGTCAAAACCAACCTTACCTCTCTGCTTCCTATTAGCATACCATCCAATGATTCAATGTGATGCTGTTTATGTATAACCTCTTGTTGTAAAACAGATATTATTTTCTCTTGTTCAATAAATTGTTGATGTTCCTTCTCCAACTGTGTCCGAAGCTGTCCGTAAGTAAATCATAATTTATTATATTTTAATAAGAATTTGTGCATCTAAATATGTCATTCAGTTCTATTCACCCATCATTTTTATAATGAAAATTAAATATATTCCTGCCATCACCAGTATTACAGGGTCTTAAATTTTTCAAGAAATCCCAAGCCCTTAGTATCTTAAATCCAGGAGAATGAGGGCAGAGTGTAATTGTCTGTCATCAGCCAAGACAGTAAGACATGAGACATTCTTTAGTAAAAGATGACAAGTTTTTTGAACAGCTAGAAATATTTCCAATCACATGGAGCAACAGACTTCTTCTCTAAAGACTGAAAAAACGACCAACAGTTCTCCCTGAACGCAGATGCTCATAAGGGTCAGACGGCAGAGGCTCAGCCAACAAGAGAACTTTCTTGGAAGCTGTCGTGTTTAAATGCAATAGGCACTAAAACTATACTTTATTTTTTTTTCTGGGTGTTTGGACCAAAGAACAACAGTACTATTCCTAAGTCCTTATTTCTTGCCAGTTGAGCAGGATATGAATATTTCAGAGGGAAAGTTGTATGGTTAATTAGATGGAAAACGTACCATAACTAAGAAATGTAGGGAAAAGAAAGAGCTTTTTAACAGAACTTTTTAAATGGATGTGTCTCAAAATTATAAGACAAACTAACATATTTAACACTGGAAAAAGTATTACATTCACACRTACTACCACACAATAAAGGTCTTACCAGGTCAATCTGTTTCTCCATTTCTTTGCGCTGCTCAAGGTGAACCAACTTTTCGTTTTCAAGAGCGTAAGTTATTTTCTCATGCTCCTCACTGATAGTTGTTTCCAGCTCATGAATGCGCCTGTTTTTTCCCTGGGAAGCAGCAACAATAAAAGGACTTATTAACATATAGCTGTGATATCAAATAGTTTTATTTGATCATCTAGTTTCTAGATTTCATAAAAGAATAATGAAAATACTGAAGTTACACAGAGCATGTGTCATCTCAAAAGATGCCACACCTATCACACAGGTATAGAATGTCAGTAAATGCAGCCACTGCAGAGACAAAGTGTCTGCCAAGATGGACCATGGCACAGATAACAGCTTCTGACAAAGACAAGAAGAAATTCTGTGTTCACGTGGATAGATGGAATCTTTAAAATACCATTTTGCAGACTTTTTTACTTACAAATCTACATTTATTTCAGTGAAACAAATGACAATTCAACAGGGACAACATGTGACCACAAGGAAGAAGTAACATGCCCATTAAAAACTTACCACATTCATAGGTAGGGAAAAAAGGATGTTTTACTTCAAACAAGACTCAGTTTTTAAAACCTGTGYTCCCTAAAATCTGCACCGATTATTTAGCAGATCTGAAAGTCTACACATTTTGAATACAGGGAATATGAATGTTAAGTTAAACTTTTATGTCTTTTTACATAAATGTAGTTTCTCACTGAGAACATTTTACCATKAGTTCCTGTTCCAACTCAGCATTTCTTTCTGCAGCAGTGGAATAAGCAATAACCTTTTCTTCCAGCTGTTTCTCAAGTGCAGAAAGTTGAGAAGATTTCTTTCTAATCTGAAATTAAATATGGCACAAAACAGCAKGTAGACAACTGTTTCAGGTTTATTCAAATATTTGTGTACACTTTCTTATCACAAATTCCATTTTAGCTACCTCTATAATATTTTTAATAAATTGTTTGGTTGATTTTGTTGAGCTGTTATATTCTATTACTTACAGAGAAAGATTCTACTATCAGAGAAAGATTATATTCTATTACTTACAATTAATCCAACTATCTGTCAATGAAACAGCTATTACATATTTATAACATTTGTGTCCATTATTAGGAAATACTGCAAAGCCTATTATGCTGAACTCTATAAACACATTAGCACCAGAATGGAAACATTAGCAATTTAACTTATTCACCCAGAGAAAAGCTTAAATTTTTCCTTTTTTGAATCTTTGGTAATGATGTTTATCTCTGGCACCTATAGTAACATTTAAAAGAAAAATACAATTGTTCYTTCAACATCTATTTGCTAAGATTACCCATTAATTCAATCACACCAAAGCAACAAGACTGTGCATATTTTTAACATAACAAATCAAAGTAGTAGCAGAAAAGCCTATTAACTACACCAGCTTTAAAACAGTCTTTCTGACAAGTAACAAATTAAGGCTGCTAAGTCCTYCTGCTTGTTGAAAAGTTTAAATTTCTCTCAAATCAGATTTTAAAATTAATTATGACAATTGCAATTTTTCCATAAGTATTGTCCTCAGTATCTTTAATTACTGAACTAAAGAAAAAGTGATATATTTTTTCAGTRCTATTAGAAACTTACTTCTCTCTCTAAGCTGTTAGTTTTTGAAGCCTTCTTCAATAGGTCTTCTTGTATGATTTGAAACTGACTGGTTCTTTGAGCCATGCTGGTCTTCAAAGCAGAATTCTCATCATCTGCTTTTGTCAGTTTAGTGCGTAACTCTTCTATCTCTTTCTGMAATTTTTGCCTCACCTTTTCAAATTTTCTGCTTATAAGTTCTAACTGTTGACATTTTCTCCCYTCTAAAGTAGAAAAAWKAAATTTAAGATTAATTTATAAAAGAACATGCAAACCCATAATGTAGYTAAAAGCTATGACTTATGAAAACAAACAACAAAATCCCCAACAAAACCCCAAGAAACAAACAAAATAAAGACAGCACGAYCATAAAGGTGCCCTGACATAATTTCATGGAGCAGTCCTAATGGTAATGACAGAAGCRAGCACAGAAATACTGTGACAGCAGGATACAGAGAACAGAGTGAACAGAAAGACAGAGACCTTAGCACAACCTGCATAGAGAAAAAAATACATGRTTCCATTTCAATACAACTCCTAGCCTGGCTATTGCTCAATGAGTAATTTCAGTAGAAAAAGAAAGAAATACATTGTGCCTGGAGAACATGACAGTTTCCAAGGTGGCAAAATGCTCTCTGTTCAACCAAACAGTACCTGCTAGCTCAGAGATATGTTTAAAAAATGCTGTAAAACCAACTTGAAYCCCTCCAGAACATTTCTGTTCTGTGGATTAACTAGACAGAATGGCACAGCTATTTCAGCCAGCTTACCTCCTGGATTTCTGATCAATTTGACAGGCTCTGTTTCCAGGTCACCTAACCTGCTGTTTCCTTGTCCTTCATTACCGTTAGAAAGATGCTCAGCTCCAGTACAGATAGTTAAGTTTGCACAAGGCTTTTGAATTTCTGCTTCTTTCATTGACAGTTTAATGCTATTATAAAGAAGAAGACAATYATTTAACATTCTTTCTGCCTGCTASTTCTAATTCCACCTTATTATCTGCCTATTCTTGCCATAGTTCAGTAACCAGAAAGTTATACCTTAGGTCTGCAATGAAAGGTTTACTTGATTCACAAGATCCAGAGGTAGCTTCTTTTGTTGARGAACTCAGTAGCTGCTGTTTTAAATGGTGCCATTTAAACTGAAAGTWAACAGAAAACAAAGATGAAAGAAAAACCAACTTTTTATTGCTTTAAGCATACTTAATTCAYGTGTTACACTAGCATATAAATTGTAAGACACATATGCCAGGATGTTAAAAAAAATCAGAAAGAAATCATAAAGTTTGGATAACTCCACCCTTAAAATGATGCAAAATACAACACACTGTTAAGACTGCATCAGTTACTCTACCTCTTCAGATGTACTTAAAGACAACTGAGAAATAATGATTTCTAGTATGTTCAGCTCTTSCCTTGAATCCTCAATTTCTTGACGACATAATTTCAATTGGTTATGTTGCTGTGCAGTAAGTGCTCTCAGCTCTTCATTTTCACTAATTAGAGCGTTTTTCTCTTTAAGTACTACTTCTTTTTCAGAAAGTTCAGTCTCAAGCTTGACGATCTTCTGATCAGATTGACTCARCATTGATGTCATTTCAGTGTTCTTTGCTTCTAGGGTTTTTATTTCTTCTTTTGTGTTGTGATTCTCTTCCTTTAATTGCCTAAAAAKACGTTTAAAGGTATACCTCAATATGCAAGATTTTCATTATTAGAAGTGGAAACTTACTAAGGAGACTCAAGCTAATGTAAGGGTGTTCATACCCTGCCCACTCTTGCCAAAATGGCCCAGTTATGACAGGAATGTGAGTGTGGACAAGGACGGAAATTAAATAACCTCAAAGCATCTGTGCAGGTGTTTGTCCAAACCTAGCAATTCTAAAGACAACCAGCCAATGATTTCTTCCCTCATTAAAGCAATAAGGAAATTACCAAAGGACTTCTGAAAAAAAGGGAGGTTCAGCTTGAAATGAAACATACAAGAAGCATAAAAAATTGTAACAGCTGTACTTATGACAGAGAGTCAAAACCAGGTCTGCTGCAGTCAGCATCACAACCTCCACTGAGGCCTGAGTGCAGCCTCCCATCAGATGCCAAGAGTATCTTTCATTCAAGCCAGGGACCATCAAAATGGTGTGTAACAGGTGGGGACCCCAAGTGGCAGTGCCAGGGGACTCCCAGGGCACTGCTCTGGCAGGTGAATGAGCAGAGCACAGGCAGAGCACAGGTACACAGCAAACCAGAGCAGCCCTCAGGAGCAGCGAGCCACCCAGGGAACCAGTGACCTCAGAAGGCTTCTTACTGTGAATGGATGGATGTGAGATTAATACACTTAAGAATAAGTTATTGAAAATAAGTAAAAATTCATTGCTTTGAACGACATGAATTGAGCAGCACATTCACAGTGACAAGTGAAAGATGCAATTTCTTCTCAAATAACTGTGCAGAAAATTTTTAAAAGCCTTCATGTTACCTTAGCTGCTCTTCCAGGATGTGTAGATCCTTTCTGTAGYTGATACACTTTTCATTCAACTTATTTCTTTCTTTTTCACAATTAATTAAACGTTCTCCCAAGAYTACTTCTTCAGCTTTAGCCTTAAAAAGCAATTTTTTTTTTTCATTATTGTACAACAATAACCTAAGCTTCCATGGTCAAGAGGCTATTTTTAAAAGACTATTACAAACACTGTGATCTTTCAGGTAAGTCAGTAGGTAATTCTATTGCTTACTATTGTGAAGGAGAGAGGSAAGGAAGTTTTCTTCTTCTGTCATTTAGGAAAAAAAACCCTTAATATTTTAGGGCATATTTGTAGTTGGCAATCKTGTTGCACAAGGAAAGAAGCCTAAAAAAATTCTCTGTAAGAGCTAACTGTATTTTCTYCTCCCACAAGGCAGGAAGTATTAACATTTTTGATCATTGGAACTTTATGAGATGACTTCATTTTCATYTTAGCTTTTCTTCAGCACACGGTTTATTGAACAGCTTATACATCCAGAGAAAAAGAGTTTTTTTAAAAGAACCTTGAGAGAGTGCAAAGTTTATAACTGAATTTGTCACCACAAACAGTTTCTTACCCTGTTCCACCTCTTTTAGGATTTTGCCACCAACAAGCAGAAACAATTGACTCACTGATGAACCTGTTGCTGTTAGCTGCCTGGCCTATTGGAAGAAAAATCTTAATACCAYGGCAAAAACAAGTGATAAAAAAAGCTCTCACCATTTCTAATTTTTCAGTKATTTCTGCTTTATACTTTGTAAAAGCTCTTGTCAGCTCCTCCACATTCAACAAAGCTTCATTTCTTTGCTGTTGTGCTCTGCCAACCAAAAGATGCAAACCCATTTCAAAACCCACAAACTCCAGCCATTATGTAAGTACCTTYTCCAGTTACTAAAAACAACTACTCCAGTAATTGCTTCAAGTACTTTGTTTCTTCTCTGAGAAGAGAGAATCAATGAGAATCAATGAGAATCTGTTCCAAGGAACCACCCAGACTCCCGTTTCCCTGTATCACTCCACATCCCTGCTCCTTTCCCTATCATTGCTCATTAGGGAAGAAGATGGAAGAGTAAACTCAGGACAGCTCAGGAATGCCAACATAGGCACACAGGAATTGCTGCTGCTCAGTAACATTTCTCTCTTCCACTAAGGGAGCTGTGGGCATGGGKCAGTGCCTCACCTAAGTACAGCCGACCCTCAGATCGGTGTCTCAGTCTGAGGACCACTGCCTATGTGGAGATGGCAAAAGTATTCAGAGAAGAGCATAAAAGCATTYCAGAGCAACAAAATAGTATTACTCTAAAGCACTTCAGTCTGCCTGGGTAAAGAATAATAAGTTGTAGCAATTAATGATTAGAAGTAAACCATAATAATTATTAATACTAATCATAACACCATACTTTGCCTTTAATAMCTGGCAGAAGCTCAGTTTTTCTGAAACACCAAAATATTTACAGTTGCAACCAATAACGAAGTACAGTTTGTTCCAGGCCCACATGCTCTGAATGAACAGAAATCATAAAGCAGCACATTTCTCCAATCAGCAGTGCAAGCCCCATGGTATTTCCATTTTTCTTGCCATAAGAAGGTTAGAGACAATTTCMTGGGTAGAGATTCAAGTCAAACAGAGTTTGCATTCAAAAGATCTAAGAAATGCTTTCCCAAGCCATTAATTCAGTTAAATTTTGCCCCAGGTAACGCAGTTAAATTAAAAGGGCAGGTAGGGATCTTTTTATTTATTCCACTCACTTCTTTAAAATTACATTTTGGAGGTGATAAGAGTGTTYATGGTAACTTCCAACAGTCAAATTCCCTAACAGTCAAATTCTCCCAGTAGTGACAGAGTCACAAGGCTAAAGGAAGCAATATGAAAGGGAAATGAGGATTGAGAAGAAATTATAGCACCCTTTTCAAGAGTACCATATAGACAGGTAAGATTAAGGATGACATAAAAATGTTCTTATGATTGAAAGTYGCGCTTTTATCACTTTCCTTGCACCAGCCCCAAAAATACAGTACTCAGTACCGCKGAATACCAAGTACTGAGCATACACTGTAGGCTCTCGTAAGAGAAACAAAAATAATTCAGGGAAAGTATATTCTGGACACTGAAGCTTTCCACTGAAGTACATCCATTCCAAAGGAAAAAAGCTATGTTTTTTTTTTTAAAACTGCTTACTAGTGTGTGCTATCAGCCTGCAGCTACCAGCTAATTTTGAGATTTTAAATGTGCCTATTTAAATAATCAATACCTTCACACAGAATTTCTCCGTTTTAAAAAAATAACATCTTTAAACAGAAATTTGATTCCACAAAGCAAACAACTGCCAATGGAAATAAACACTTGCGCTCTATTTTTCCATGCTCCATTTATTAAAATTAGTTACCTCTTTCCTTGCTTGCTTTGTTCAATTAACTCCATTTTCAGATTTTTATAGCCCTTCTGATATCTTTGCAACATGTTTTCTCTTTCCATTGCTGTTTTCCGATTTTGATCTAGTCTATCTTCTGCATCTCTAGCAAATAAACAAAGCATAATTAAAAGATAAGCTTTTTTGTAAAGAAAATAGATTTCTGTTTTTCTTTTCTGCACACAATGTTCATTAAGTGTTAGACAAACATGCTGTAACTCTCAAAACTAGGTTTGAAACATTCATAGGCTCCAGACTCCCCAGGAGTATGTCTGCAGTCTGGAGTGGTATCTAAGAGCTATCAATAGGCACCAGGTATCACGACTGCCAAGGACCCAGAGAGCTGACTTTGTGTCATGAGCTCTGATCATAGAAATCATGTTTTCTCTGCCAATAGGTGTGACTGGGAAAGAACACTAGAATACAAATTTAACGTAAGTATTTTTACTTTTTTTTGTGAAGACAGACTACTTAAGACAGGCATATTACTTAAGATTACTGAAGACATATTAATTGAATATTACATAACATGACTTTGCAAGGCAAGCTGACAACCAGGTATGTCTTCCTGACATCTCTGAACACTGTTTACCTCAGCTTTATTTGGTCATGATTAATGTATTCATGAAGGAAGAATGCTTTATGTTACAAATAAATGTGTTTACTTCCATGTTTGGAAATACAGTACAAGAGATGTTACAAGAGAATATATGTGGTCATGCAGCAAATAATCACTCTATCTAGTTGTAAGCGGACATTTCTATTCAGCATACATTATAAACTGGTTTCTTTTACCAGTCTTTATTATTTTTTCTCAATTTCTTGAAGTACATTCATCACAAAAAAGATCACTTCCCTCCTCCTATAAGTGGCTCTGAAATTAAAGTTTTAGACTCCAGATTATATGACCCACATAGCACTGGTAATTATGTCATCCCTTAAAAGAGATGRGACTAGCAAGCAGACAACAATAAAATATTGATTGAAAAGTACACTCATTACTTCAGAATTTTATCTTGAGCTGAAACTTCTGCTTCCAAGTTTACAATCTGTTCTTTCAACTTCGGAATGCTGACTAAATGTGTATCTAAAGCAGATTCAAGATACGAAATCTGAAATACAAACATATTTGGGGTTTCATTAACATTTGCATATTTACAGGTGAGAARCATAAGAACAATCTGCTTACTGAACAACAGTGCTCTTAACCTTACTGTAAATTATGTTTGTTCATCTACACCACCTTAACTCCAATTTTCTGCTCATTTAACAKTCCTTCCAGTTCCAGTGTGATATGCTGTCTAAAAAAATTATTTCTTTATAGGTTGATCTTGTCTCTTGCTTTTCCCCAAAAGCTTATAYTCAACTATTTCTTCTTTCGATGCCAGGCAAACATTTTGTTTATGTATTKATTTGTAGTCTTTTGGAGATAACATTTCTCAAACCAAACACACTAAGCCTAGCTATATAATATTATATATAAACCAAATAAAAGAACACAGTTGTCCTGAAACAAACCTGTGCAAACAAGTGTACCATAAATCAGTAATGATTTATGAGATACAATATTTCCTTCTAATTAATCACTTTTTTCAAAATAGTTATGTTTATCCAGCCTGAGAGGTCAATTATTTAAATTTTCTAGACAAATGGCTACTGTGCCATTATTATTGCCATTAATGTCTATGTAGCTCAGACATGTGAATGTACAGTACTAAATACACTACTGAACTATTTTCTTTCGTAGTCTATTTTTTATTCTATGGCTTATTGTCTTTGGACTAAACTTTGGAATATAAATAGATGGCATTCACAGTTAATATAGTTGTTCTGCCCATGGAGAATGAGATTGCAAACTATTCTGTCCAAGACTTATATTGAATATTAAATATGTATTAAATATTAAACTTATACAGATTAAGATAAAACAAAAAACAGCATATTCTGCTTGGAATTATAAACTCAAAAATCTTGGCCACTGGGTGTTCTGGGGCTTGTGTTTCTTTTTGATGAATACAGTAAAGATACATACTTTTGATTTTGACTGCATCAATTCCAAATTCATTGTTTCCACTCTGTTCTTTAGGTAGTGATTCTGAGAAGTCAAAGATGCATTTTGCACRTGAAGGACATCCAACTTCTCCTGAAGATGTTTATTTTCTTCAAAAGTTTTATCCAAAGCTGGGGGTACTGAGTAAGACTAGATACAAAATATATTAGTTTATTTATTTTTATTTATTTATATAGAAATATATCATAGAACCATAAATACAAAAGGTCGAAMGGGACCTTTAAGGATCATTTACTCCAACCACCTAGCAATGAGCAAGGACAACCTGAACTAGATCAACTTGCTTGGAGTTCTTGCTTTAATGTTTCCAGGGATGGGGATTTACCACACCTCTGGGCAACCTCTTCCTGTGTGGCATCACCCTCATAGAAAAACACCGGTTATAGATGATCTAAATCAGTTTTAAATCATTACTCCTTGTCTTATCACAACAGGACCTGCTATAAATTTTGCCCCCTCTTTCTTAAAAGCCTCAAATACTGACATGTGGGAGAGGAAACCTCACTGAAGAAATGTACTCAAATGATATCATGTTTAAGAGCCTTTGCTTGAGATCATTGTCCACTGCTACAGTGTATCTACTGCAACGCAGCAGCCAAAAAATGTCTAAAAACACAGCAAAGAATAGAGAGCCAAAGTAATAAAAAGAAGTAATGAAGAGCAATATTTACTTTGGATCTTCTTTGATAWTCCTGGCAAGATGTTCTACCAAAATTCTTCTGACAGCTGGAAAAGCCTTGACAGTTGTAATTCGGCTGTACAAAGTCCTCCAGAGGGAAGTCTATCGCCTCRTCGAAGCAGKGGCTGTAATGTTCACTTRTATTAGTGCTTGGAGRGAGAGCAAAAGTAACTACTCCTTTTTATCTTTATTAGGTTGTTCATAAAGACTAYTCAAACTARAAGCACAAAATGAGCTAATTACAATAGTYYRTCGCACAGAAAAACAGATTCACACTGCAAGAGACAGGAGGTTCTTATTCCCAGACACACTCATACCTGGAGAGCTTTTTCTCTACAGTTTGTAGTTTTTYTTCAGTTCTTCTCAGCTGATTCTGTAATGACTGTACATTTGCGAGCAGGTCTTCATCAGCACCACATTTAGAGCCAGTCCACATACTACTTTCCATTGGTAACATGCATAAGGCTAAAGTAATATTTAATATTAAACCACTGTTAAATGCGCATGAAGACTATTTGCAAAGATTTTTTAAAAGGCGAAAAAAATACAAAAAATAAAATACTGTATTTTCAAACGTAGATGTACATTTCACACATTACTCCTTACCATATTCACTAGATAAAAATAATAAATTGTCTCTTCTGTGAGGAGTTCTATATGCATTCATTAAGTACAAAAAGCTTCATGACTTGCCACATAAGAAAACAAGAAAAACCTRTATTATTTGCCAAAAATCTGTCACCCAGTGCATCTCAGGAATCTCGTTCGCGCCCCGTCCTGGCGGGGAGCCCGAGAAGTGCACGGCGCAAAGCGCAAAACTTGCCTCGCCTGCCGGTGACCAGCACAACGAGAGACGAAAGCGAAACAACCCTGGGCGGACGGGCAGCACCAGCACCGAGATGGGGAGCGCCGCAGGGCCCGGGCTGGCGGAGAGCCGGGGCTCGGGGCGCTGGTGGCCGGTGCCGGTGCCGGTGCCGGTGCCGGTGGCGGTGGCGGATCTGACCCGGCCCCTCCACAGCAGCCCCCGCCGCCCCTCCCTTCGCGCTCGAACCGCGCGGGGCCCTCACGGCGCAGGCGCGGCCCCGCCACCCCCGGCGCTCTGGGGGCGGGAGCAGCGCGCGCCGCCGCGGTGCACTGTGGGCGCCGGCGATTGGTGCGGCGGGCGGAGGGGGCGGGGCGGTGGCGGACCCACTCCCGGCAGGGGCGCCCCGCCCCTCGGTGCCTGCGCGCGCGGGGGCTCCGCGCTCCGAGGCGGTGCCGCGATGGGGCCGCGGCTGCTGCTGGTGCCGCTCGGCTGCTTCGCGCTGTTGCTGCCGCCGCCCGGCGCCGCCGAGTTCAGCCCCTCCCTGGACAGCGATTTCACGTTCACGCTGCCCGCCGGCCGCAAGGAGTGCTTCTACCAGCCCATGCGCAAGGAGGCCTCGCTGGAGCTCGAGTACCAGGTCGGGCAGGGCGGGAGGGGGCGTCTCCCCGCCGAGTGTCCCGAGGGGAGTTTGGGTCCCGCATCTCGCCGTGACAGCGGCGCTGCCGTCCCCGGGCCGTGTGCCCGTCCCACCATACAGCGGCTGGTCTCGGTCCTGCCTTCCAGGCGCCCAGCCTCGGCCCTGGAGGGGCAGCGCTTGCGGAGGCCGAGGGACGCGGTGCGCTGTCCCGAGCAGCGCCCGCGGGGAGCCCAGCCCTGCCCGAGACTCTGCCGGCCTCGGCAGCGCCCGCAAAGCCACGGTGGAATTGTACACTCTTAGAAGTTCTGTCTTCGGGCGTTAAAATTAACTTATCGACCTTTTTTTAATTATTCTAATACGTTGTTTCGGTGGTTGGGGGGAGTTTATAAGAGCTCAAGTCGCCATCCTTTAAAAGGGCAGGATGTAGAAAGTTCACGGTTGTGACCTTGTGTTGTAGCTCTAAAGCTAAGGAACGTTGTGCTGATATACAGAGCCCGTTCTTGCCTATCTCTGTGCTGATATTAAACACTTTTCACCTCAGTGATGGAAGTTTTACAAAAACAGCCCTATTTAAGTAGATCTTGATGGCCTTCTTGGGAAGAGTTGGGTTTTCCAGAGGTGGAATAGGGATAGGTCTCGATCTCAGAATTTCTTGTCCTTAAAACAAAGGCTTTTTTCCCAGTAAAATAGATACAGTGAGCGAAACTGCACTGAATATTTTCTCACCCTACTACTGTGCCTCGAAGTTGGCAGGATCTGTTGCTCTTCTCCCCCACCTATTTTTCCCCCCTGTTTCCCAACTGAAAGACAAAGCTGAAATTCCTGATTATTTCTAATTTCTAATACTGTTACACACAGAACTGAACAAGAATGAAAGACAGAGGTGTTAAAGCTTTGTTCAGAGCCCTGTCTAAGCCAAACAGAAGTTTATTTTGGACAGAATAGGTTTTTAGTTTGATCATAAACTAAATACATTATTTTAGAAAGGACTAATGTGTATAACATTATACACATAACTTATTTCTACTCTGGCAGAAAGTTCTTAGCACTATTGTTAACAGTAATGATTCCTCTATTTGAATGCATAGAAAAGGAGCTCTGTATATTTTATTACAAATAAATTTCTTTTGTACTTAATTACTTTAGTGCCTAAAGCATAGGAATATTTAATATAGGATGCAGGTCATTCTCCAAAGACATAAGGTAAACACTGTGCTAATACAAAGGTTCTTTTCTGAGTGTTTAGACTGGAGCATAGCCCTTAAGGTATGCCACTCTATATGTTTTTTTATTTGATCAGCTGTTAGCTAGTCATTTGCTTTGTCCTTTATCCTTTTTTTTTTAGTCTCTCGTGTCAATTTGAGTCAGTGTAAACTTTGCCCTCAATTTCAGCAGGAGCAGACTGCTGTACTCAAAAACCTCACTGCAAAAGAAGCAAACAAAAAAAATCCCTATCATGGACTTAAGTAGTGTCATAAAAATTATCCCTCTCTGTCCCCTTATGTAGTTACTACCTTCCCTATAAAGAATTCCTACAACACAATAGATGTGGTGATACAATTGTAGCTGTGTTACACAGTTAAAGCAGCACAGGTTTGTAATGCTGTAGACACTCCTCGAGAACATAGGACTCTCTATGCCTTCGATTCCTCCTACCTTCAGGGAAAGAGAACACCCTGGCAGAATTCAGGCCTTACATGTGAATCAAAAGATGGAAGGTCTTGTGGTACAGTTTTGATTGGCATAAGAGGTTTGGTCCTGTCTTCAACACTGTTAATTCACCCAACAAAGAGATCTTTGGTGACAGCACATAATGCACAAATATGTGTAACATGTATATACACAGAAGTGACATATCAGAACATTTCTACCGGTGAAATGGAAATAGTGCAGGTACTTACCAATCAGTGATATCTGCCATAGAARTGCCAGATTTAGCCATCTGTTGTTGGTATTTTTACAGGTTGTCTAACCCTGCCTGTTGATAAAACAGTATGCATTCTTAAAAGTAATTAGGGAAAGGTTCAATATAAGCCCAGCCTAGCAGGTTTAGATCACATTTAGTTTCTGATTCTGAAGTTGCTAAAATGCATTTAGTTTGAGCCGTTTTTTTTTTTTTTTATTTGTTTCCAGTTAATTTGGTGTCAGCTCTAGTCTTTCAGATTCTTTATTTGTTAGTTCCCTTACCTAAAAACGTTTTGCCTTTCCTAAAAAAAATGCTGTCAACGATGCAAACAGGAATTCCACTGGTCAGAGGTTGGTTATTTTTGTTTRTTTCACAGGTTCTAGATGGAGCAGGATTAGATGTCGATTTTCATCTGCTGTCCCCAAAAGGTGAAACTCTAGTTTTTGATGAAAGAAAATCAGATGGAGTTCATACGTAAGTTTAAAACCTTCAAACCTCAGAAGTGTTACATAAAGAATTACTGGTTTCTGTAACAAATATAACTAAAATGTAGGTTGAGTCATTTTTATTCCTTAGTATTACARAAGACTTTATAATAGGACAGTTTGAGAATACCAATTATCTTTTTACAAACACTGAATGCTTTTTATATGAACTGTACCATGAAGTAAAGTGTATTGTTGTTTTAATGATAGCTGTTACTAAAATAATTATGGAGTTGAAAAAGGTGCCCATATCTAATATCAAAAGATCATGTCAGCCATACAAATAAGAAGATAAAAGCCCCCTATTTCTCCAGTCCTRTTGTCAAAATATGTAATATTTGCTGAAATTTTACTATACAATATAAGAATTCCACTTACTGTGTAATTTTGGTAATGATTAACAATTATTAAAATCCCTGAAATTAAATCAAGCTGCTGTCTTGACCATTTTGAGCCTTTAGAGTCAGTGGGATTGTTTTGCTGTGACTGTATAATCTATAAGGTGTCTTTAGACTTCTTATTTTTATACAAAAACCAGATTTGGTTATTTCTAAGTGCATGATTGTCAGTTTTGGAGAGAAAGGTGTGCTTACAAAAACTGACCTTTTGAGAACCAGCACAGAAAGTGTAGTTAATCACATTTTGCATATACACACAGGGTAGAAACAGAAGATGGGGATTACATGTTCTGCTTTGACAACACATTCAGTACCATTTCTGAAAAGGTAATTTTCTTTGAACTGATCCTGGACAATATGGGAGAAGATGGTCAAGATGAGGAAGACTGGAAGAAGTACGTTACAGGCACAGATCTCCTAGACATGAAATTGGAAGATATTCTGGTTAGTATTTGGTCTCTAATTCTATTCAGTGTCATGTAGCCGTGATGCCTTGATCTGTTGTGTCATCCTGGAATGTATTCTAGTTCCATATATTGCATTTACTAATACAGGAAATCCAGCACTATGGATCTCTTGTTTAAGCACAGAAACTCGAAGATCTTCTTAGAATAGGCCCTGCATCAGCAAGAAGAAACTGCCTAGCTCTCAATCAGTTGCTTTCCAATTCAGCTTCTTTTCTTCCTACTGCTAAAATGGGACATTCTTCCCTAGCAGCAATGAAATGAATACTTAGAGCATTTAAGTACTGCTTAGTCCCTGTGATGAAGTAGGAATTACTGCATAATTTTTATCAATGTTTAAAAATAAAGTACCATGTTAGCCTCTTCATCACATCTTTGCAGAAGTATGGATTACCGTTTCTGTCCTCAGTAAATTASGTATTACTATATTAGGTCTTTTGCCCCCGAATTTTAATACATCTTTTCAAACTAGTAAATATAATGGGAGTTAATTTGCCAGGTTCATCTTTGCAGACATTGTTTGAATGGTTGTGTTTGCTTAAACTGTATGCTGACCCTATTTCATGTTGGATTCAGACTACTGCTGAKTCAAAGCTCTTATTCCCTTTATGATTATTAAATATTGAGATTACTCTAGAAGCAAAGGATTGCTTGGTGCTCCAGTATCACTCTTATTAATGCAGGAGGCAGTGACCTATTTGTTTGATTGTAGCTACARACAATAGGTATCTTACAAAAACAACATAAAACCCCAGCATCTACACACACTTGCTGACTACATCATGTGGAAAATGACAGTGTATTATTTATTGTCATAAACACAATGCAGATTTTTTTAAGAACAAAATAAACTATTTAAAATCTTTTATAGGTGAATGATACACTTCTAAATAATGAAGAAACCAAATACAGAATCTGGAAAGCTGACCAGATCTGTAAAACTGGCAGTCAAGACACTTAGAAAAAAAAACAAAGTTTATATTTGAAGTTTTGAAGAAAATCCGTCTCACACTAATCACAGAAAATACTTGCATGGATTTGGTAGATACTTGTTGATATACTGGTATCTCTTCCAGAAGAAAAAGAAATGCAGAACTTGTCTGAGGGATTTGAAAATCTTACAAAGTAGCTAATTGTTGTAAATTTAACATTAGTATTTGATCCCRTTGTTTACATAGTCAAGGTATTTCCTTGCAAGCTCTATGAGGGCTAACATAAATAGTAGTTTAATTCCTTATTGAAAACATGTTTTCTGGTGAAAATAGGGAATTGAGTCTTATTTTTAAAGCTCTTGYGTGGTGTTCATGTTCCTTATTGTGTAACAATGAACTTTATCATCATAAAATTATTTGGCTCCCCGAAATAGCAATTTTGAAATATTTTTGTTAAATATGAAACAGAGAAAATGTGACTGCTGGGTTTAACCTTATGGTTTTGGGGCTTTTAAAAAAGTTATTAGCCTCTTACTGCAAATGTTACTCTTCTCACTAAAAGTTACTTCAGGATCCATAATTATATCAAGAACATAATTTAACACTTCATGAGATCAGCCTTTTATCTTGTTAATATCTATTATGTGGTGGATGAAACTTCAACAGACCACAGGACCAGATGTTTACTTTGTAAGTGCAGAATAAGGTGCAGATCTTGAGCTGCTCTTGGAATGGCTGGAATGTTCATGTACTTCCTCTAGTTCCCAGGGTCACACTCTTCTGTCCTTTGCAGAACCTCCAGTTGTCCTATTCAAAATTGGTCAAAAAAAAGTCAAAATTTGTCAAAATTCTGCTTTTGTATCAAGGCTGAAGCAGCTGTTTATAGCCACTACAGTGGAAACACCAGAAGCAGTCAGGAATGTAACATTATTGTGCTTTTCTTTTGCTACAGATASAGCACTGATGGTAGTTTGCATTAAAAAACACTTTAATTTTATTATGCAGTAGAAAAACCGCTACATTTGCTTGCCACTATATAACTTGTTTTGAGACTAGTTCTGCAGAATTCACTGCTTTTTATTTGTCCAAATAGGTTTGATTTCTCTTACCTCCCTACCTATAAAAGAGAAAAATCAGAATTACTACAGAACACTAATGCTACATTAATTAAGTCTTTTCAGGTGATACACAATAAACATGGTAAACATGCAAATTAATGAAAACTGATGAGGTGTATATTCTAAAATTAAATTACAGGCAGTAATACAGTATTAATAGTTTTGTATGTGCTGTAAGCTATCCATTTAATTCAGGTGTTCTTTTTTCTTCTAAAAATACTCTTTTGTTACTTACCAGGAATCCATCAACAGTGTCAAAGCCAGATTAAGCAAAAGTGTCCAGATTCAGACCCTGCTCAGAGCATTTGAGGCTCGTGACCGAAACATACAAGAAAGCAACTTTGACAGAGTGAATTTCTGGTCCATGGTCAACTTGGGAGTAATGGTGGTGGTATCAGCTGTTCAGGTTTACATGTTGAAAAGTCTCTTTGAAGATAAGAGGAAAAGTAGAACTTAATATTCATTAATGTTCATATTACGGTCATAACAATATAACAGGTATGGGGGAGAAGGGGAGTARTAAACCACGGTAAAGAAAATAAAGGACTTTCAGGTTCTTTTGAGCAGACAGTAAAAATCAGGTTTTCAATTCATGTTGGGCTTTTTGGGTGTGATGGTGCCGGTCTTGTTTGTATTTGGGGGGGTTTTCTGTTGTTTTTTGTGGTGGTTTGTTGGGGTTTTTTTTAATGTAATGCCTCCTTCCAAGCTCTCCCATTTTTCCAAATACTACTAACTATTTTTTTGTACTTGTAGGATTTGTTAAYGATTGTTAATGCCTACCTTATGCATAGCACAATTGGTGCATTTGCAAAGTAATGTTAATATAACTGTCATTTTTTTTCATTTTCATGTGAAAGTTGTAACTTAGACATTGCTTTCGTTTTTGTTAAATACTGAGTGAATTTACATGTGTGCCTAAGTTTACAGGATTGGTAGTTACTGTCAGTTATCTTCAAAGTTACATGTYTTTTAAAATCCTCTGCTTTTGTTCTTTGGCATCATGGAGAAACACTGRGCTAACTATGTAAGAACCTGACATCTCTTTTTATAACAGATGACTAATATCRGCACTTTAAAAAAAGCACCATCAATGTGAAATTGAGTTAGTCTTGAAAAACAATTGGAGAAAATAGGTACAATTCCTGTTCATRAATCTTTCTGTCCTGTAGTTGCACCAATCCTATTTTCCTTTTTGGCTGTTACATGAGACAAGTGACTACATGGTATTCAAACAAATGTAGGCACACTTGAAGTATGATTTGCAAATTCTTAGTTACTGTAACCTCATGTAATAGCTAATTTTTTTTAAAGTAATTTCTCATGGCTTTTTCCTCTAATAAAGGCAGGGGTATGCCAAAACACACATTGATTGGTARTCTCAAAATCCCTCTTATTTTCCACTTTATTTTTATTACAATTATGACTAATGTAAGAATCAGGTGACTTACATAGGCATATAAAACCAAAGCTGTTCACCTAAACTTTTCCTTTTTTGCTCACCCTGACAAGTCTTTCAGTTGTGTAAGTACACTCTCTTCATAAAACCAGTGTTTCTGTATCTAGCTGTTYATATGAATAAGGCACAAATTACAGGAGCAGTAAGTGCAGGCTTCAAGTTTTATGATCAACTGAACCTATAGTATCACTTAACTAAGACAAAGCTAATATCAAATCAGAAGTTTATAGTATCTGGATGAAGTGGCATTTAAGTGTAGTGAAGGTATAGAGTTTTTGCCAAAACCCCTGCTGCGTGAGAACTAACTTTTTTTTAGTAGTTCCAAGTTAGTAATTTTCACAGTGTGCCAAGAGATTGGAATTTCTTGCATAAATGTGTTAACTACATTTCATCATAAGAGTTTTTAAAAAACTTTATTAAAAACCCTTTTAAAGAAGTGTTTTAAAAAGTGTAGTGTTGTGCCTGTTGTGGGGTCATCTGTATGAATGGCAAAGTTGCAGCTTTGAGACTGTCTGTGATTAAATACYGATTATTGCATAAAAACAGGGTCATTAGGTGCACTGAAGAAATACTTTGTTCAAATGAAGCAGATGCTAGCAARGGCTACAGAACATAGGAACAGCACTTCAGTTTCAGCTTCAGACTAGAGGTCCTAGCAATAATATTTCTAGTTTTTATAAGCAAAAGTATTATTACTACAGAACTTGTTACAGAGGGCTCAAAGGCTGTTGAGCTACTTCATCTTTCTGCAAAGCTGTGTCCAAAATAAGACTATACCCCTTTAGCCTATTGGGTATCTTACTTCCATATGATGCTTTCTAATGTAAACTGCCTGGAATTAGAAAGCTTATTTCTGTGATAAGAAAAATGTCTAGGAAAAAATAACTCAGCTAGAGTAGAAATAATGTTTTCCTGCCATTTCCCTGTCCATCGGCCATTCGCACTATACCACATCATTATCTTTGCTTGCATCACCATGTGTGATGCTACAAACATCTGCAAAACGCTGAACCAGCTCTGGGAAGCTGTGACTAAGACATCTACCTCTGCTCTCCAAGCGACTAGATTCAAGATTTCAGCTTAGAACTCCAAGAAATAAGCTCTGCCAAGTTTTCTAAGGGCACCTTAAGGGATTTGGTTCCCTAGCTGCTCTGCTGTGCCTCTCTTGCATTAGTTACACATCAGTGGCAAAACTTTGGTGTCTCAGTTTAATCTGCTCCTGAATGCAGACTGCTCTAATCAAAGATGCAGTTCTGCTGCAGTTCAGTGTCTCCTGTTACAAGCAGTAAACTCTAGTAGAGGGGAAATAATGCAACAACAGGCAGCAAAGGTCATCTGAGGAAATTACTGGTTTGCGACTAAGAGCTCTGACTGTATTTTCTCCTTATTTAAGGTCCACTATAGAAAATGAAAGGGGGAATAACTAGAAAGGTTCGTTGATTTTGGCAGCAGGAATCTGTTTATGACAGGTGAAGGATCTGGCACTCAAACTTGCAGTTAAATAACATTTTATCTAGATTTTGAAGAGTAGATTGCTTTTGACTGTATAAAATTTACAAAGGAGAATATAAATAATTTTTTTTCTTAATGGACTTTTTATTCAGAATTAAATGTTTTAAGATTTGCAGATGTTGAATAATTATGCAAAACTGAAATTTTCAATAAATCAAGTTTAAACCTGTGTTTGTGTTCTTTGTTTTATAAGGAAGGAAGAATGCTCTACCTGTGAATGCTGCAAAAAAATCAAGGATGCTATGCCAACAGGAATTTTAGTTTTAGTAATGCAACTTTTTCATTTCTTCCTCATGCAGTGTTCAAATTCTGTTCTTATTCACCATAACTCAAAATTAACTCTATCAGTGCAAATAATTTAAGATTTACACAGGCATCAGATCAAAAAGACCAACCTCTGGTCTAAGAGAAAATATTTAGGATATTTAACTGTCTATTTCAGCTGCAAACATCAACAGGAAATAGTATCACAATATCAAGCTCACAATTAAGTTTCTCATAAATTGCTGCTAGTTATTCATATGTAATATTTTTGAATTATTCATAAAATAAGACTCGAGATCCCGAGACTAAAGCTCAAAACATTAGAGCATTTTTTTAGGTTAATTGAGTAATACACAAGACAAATCCAAGCTTGTTTACTATTTCATAAGACTCCTGAGACACCCGGGCCTGTCCGGAAGCTTGCAAACCACATTGTTCGAGTAATGAAACAGGAACTTCCTTTATGCTGTGTTTTGAATCAATGAAATAGATCAYAAAATACCTAAGGTACAATGTTATGTTATCAGTTTGGGCAGTTAGTGGTAGAAGGAACAGTGATTTAACTTGAAAAAATACATGAACAGTAAAAACTCTCAAGAGCTATTTTTGGACACAGACATGAGAAATACCTGCAAAATCCTTTCCTATCTCTCCCAGTGTGTACCATGAGAAAGGACACCTTCTGCCTTCACTTCTCATGTACAACACAACACAACCTTGTACCTCAGACTGGCACATTGATTCTTGTGGTCAGCAGTGCGGGACGGCCTTGTTTAACTTGTCAGGTTGCATCACCATCCTCAGTCCATAACCATGTGCTACAGTGTTAAAGCTACATTTTTAAAAATTTTATTCAATTAATTACAGCAATTACTTTTTTTCCTTTCCCTTACAGCAATTGCATTTTTAAATATATGGCCATCTATTCTAAAGATTATCCCCAAAACTTCAGACAGCTTGAAACTAAGAAGACTGAGCTATATCTGATGTCATTAAAAACTAACAGTTCCTATGTTTTAAAGAATAATCATCCTCAAGGCTTTCATTTGAGAACTTACCAACTTGTGGTATAAACAGGAACCACACAAGTCTTAGTTACTGCTGAGAAATGGCTTAAGCCATTCCTTTTCCATGCTTTTCCCCTGGCTCCAGCAGAAGTTTGTTATTCATACAAGAGGAATGCTGGATGAATAGTKAGCTACAGCAGTGAGTAAGCACAGTTTAAACTAAACACTACAGAAATTAAAAATGCAGATCAAAAGTTACATACCTTAATGTATCATTTTGTTTTCAAAACCAAGATTTCACATAATGTAACTTGATTTTTATCAAAGGTAAAAAAAAATCAGTAATGAAAAAATGAAAAAAATAAGACGATAAATTTAAAAGTAGTAGTAAGCACACCTACATTGCTGAACTTTCACCAGAAGCATCTGAATTGATCTCTAATACTATCTAGTGCAATAGTTGACAACAGTTAAATGAACCTGGAACCCTTGCTGTTCACAAACTTTCCTCCCTTGGTGCCCACCAAGTGTCTGGAAACAAGATATCCTTCCTCACKCTCCATCTGCTACCTGCTAAATTGGAACACAGGTGCAGAAGGAAGGCATAGAGTGCCAAAAGAAAGGTTCTAGAAGCATGTATCTATACATTTCAACCTTATGTTAAGGGACCTGAAATGAAACATCTATTTAAAGTCATTTTCTTTCATGCTAATGGATTTAATGAAGTTAAATTGATTCCATTTCCCATAATTTCCAACTACTGTTGATGATCTCTAGAATTTTACCCTTTCTAGTCTTTGATACCACGCAACCAGTTTTTGAAGTTATGAATACCAAATGAGAGCAACCAAGTAACACAAAGTAGACAACCTAAGTTATGTTCATGAATGAGAAAAATATGTACATAGCAAAGCAATAATTAGCTCACTGGATGGTGACACAAGTGAATGCAACAATAGCTAAGTTGAGTATAATAGCTAAGTGAGTATTCACCATAGAATGGCAAAGCACAAATGAAGGACTTGGAAATGGTGCTTAGAGAAAACTTTATTTAGAGCAAGACAACTATTAATTAGCTTCCTGCTTTAAAGTGAGTTTTGAAGTAAAAGAGCTTGTTAAGAGTAAAACTGCAGATGTCAGGATTGGAAGGTACCATGTTGAACATTAAATAAACAGAAGACTAGGAAACTAAAACCACATGGAAGTCAATAAGTGCCAAAGACTAAGTTGCTAACAACAGGAAGCAAATGGAATATTGCCAAATGGAGAAGCTGGAAATATAAATTAGAACAAGAGAAAGAAAAACACACACTGGTGAAATAGCATCAGTACACAGAGGAAAGATTATATGAAAAGAATGGTATGAACTACTGTATTGGAAAACTAGATGTATTGGAAAAATTAGCATCTGCAGGCAAAATATTTGGTACCGTACTATCAGCAGGAACAACTGYTGATATTATGGTATCTGGATCTCAACACTGAAATATGCACATATCTGGTCTAAATAACAGCAGATATTAGTTAGCTGAGAATATTAAGGGATTCAAAAATGCAAAATACTAAAACACCAAGACAATATAAAAATCTTGTTTCATTGTTGCTGAATGATAAAATTGAAAGCAAAAGCATCAAATTTCAAGCTCATTCTCAGACTGCACAGCTTGTACTCATACTTGTCTTTTGCTTTTCTTTCTATTCTCCTTCACTACCTTTACTAGAAGACAATGGTCTCCCCCTCCCACTTCCTTGAGGCACTCCAAAGGAGACTCTTCAGTACACCTCACCTACAGATGATCCAATTTACAAAAAAAAAAMCCCAAAACAAATAATTAGAAAAGCATTAATATGYTTTTCTAACCAAACCAGGATATCAATAGATGTGACACCTCCATGTGGGTGTTTAGCCATCAGTTTAATTTCAACATTGATCAAAAGTCAGCAKCCTAAACCCTTTTCTCCATTTCTAAAAAAATCTAATTTTCTGCCATCAGAAATGTTATTTTTCTTTCAGATAGATAGGAGGCAACTAGAGACGTGCCTGAACATATTACCTGTGTAACATTTGCAAGACACATCCTCTTCCCTCTGTGCACAGAACTGATGCYTCTGTCCAGTTTATTCTGATCAGTCTGTTCTGACTATTGCTGTCTTCAGCCTCAGTATGTTCCATCTCAATTCACCAATTTCCTTTTAAAATATAACACTATAGAACACTTTAGTAGGATGTTCAAAAGACAYATACATTTTTCTGTTTATTAAATTATCTTTCACCCCAACTCCCTAGACAATCAAGTGCTTGTCTTCACCTTCAAGGCCTTTTAAAAATTTATTTGTCTTCATGTTAAACCAGAATATTGACCTTCAATTTCATACATCATGCTGAGAGATTTTTCAGAATTCCTTCGTAATCTCACTCAAAATGCCTGTTATGCATAGAAAAGCATAGTTTTATTCAAAATTCCTGTGTAAGTTTTTGTTAAGAACAATTTAAGATTTGACAAATAGCTTGCTATGATGCTTACTTTACAATTCTGACCAGTATTGTGCCGTTATTTCTTTGCTGTCCTGTTCATGCAATAACTATATTTTTAGAATGGTCACAAGAGACTTGTCCTACCTAAATACTACTGAAATACAAATAAAACATAAAGGAAAAATATTAAATATCATATACATAGAAATGGTTCTAAATCAGTGACCACAACAAAGTTGAATTACATATATTTACACACATGCATACATACAATGATCAAGTTATACCAAAATGAAATCATTACAAACAGCAACATTTGTCTTTTTCCTTTAGACACACCACTACTACATACAACGAAGTTCACATAAAATGAGAAAGGCATTTGTAGGTGTGCTTTAATTACTATTCTAGCTCTAACTTCAGCAGCACTATTGCAGCATTTTCCAGTACATGACACCTTGTAACAAAGCATCCCTCAACCACAGCTGGAACACCAGTTTAGTGTCTATGTGCAGGGCAAGTGTCTCCAGGACAGGAACAGGAAAGCTAGAGATTAGGAGATCATGGATGGGAGAATGCCATCAAGTATGTGCTTCACAAAAGTACAGAATCAAAACTCATTCTTCTCTCTCAAAAAAATACACACATTTAATGTTGGTCTTTTAATTCTAAGAAAAAAACAGTTCCAAAAATACAAACTGAACATCAGAGTTAAGTCAACCACCATAATAAAATGTAACGACATTCACAACAGTTAGGTCTATGGACAGCTTAAGTTTGACAAATATTTTCTCCCCAAACCTCCCCCACTAAAGTCCCCAAGTACATTCCAAWATTTATCGTTAAATGAATCTTTATGAAAAATACTGCTGGTGTTCAGTTAGAATTAAAGGACTTGGATAAAGTGAAACAAAGACAAATACAGATGGTGTGAGTAAGGTTACAAAGGCTTTACATTTTGCATTATTTCAAGTTATAAACATTCAAAAATTAACATGAAGTTTGCTGTGTTATCAAAATATTGCAGCTATAGGCAAGGCAACATTAAATTAATAGCTGAGGGTGTGAGAAAAAAACCCACACATTTTAGTGAAGGTAAACAGAAGTGGGAGTTTTTAATTACCATTTTTATAAAGCTAATATAACCCAGCCAGCCATAAGCCAAGCACAGGATAAAAAGCTTTCTCTG